GGCTTCTGGGTCCCTGGCACCAGTGGGCCACCCCCGAAGTGTTGGAGGTTTTGCAGCTCCCCAGCCTGCGAACGCGGAGAGAAGTAGGGGCTCAGGGGCTCAGGGGTGTTGAGATTGGTGGAACCAATCATCTGTAAGAGCCGGAGGAAGGGGTGTTGAGATGGTGGGTGGGAGGGGGGGGGGGGGGGGGGGGGGGGGGGGGGGAGCCTCGCAAAGCCCGTTAACTAGCTAGTTGACTTTCATACCACATAAGGCCTCGGTCGCCTTTTGACCGTGGAACAATTGAGATATAGAGAGAAAGAGACGGAGAAAGAGAGAGAGAGAGAGAGATTGATTTACAAGGACAGCTCCCGCACGCTCCAAAGAGCTAGCTTGCGCGACAGTGAAGCAGCACATGGAGGCCCTAAACACTAAAATCGGAACCCTAAACCCTAAACCCTAACCCTAAACCCTAAACCCTAAACCCTAAACCCTAAAGCCTGATCTGCTCACAACGGACCCACTTTCCCCTCGGCAAGCCTCTCGCAGGAAGTAGTTCGCAGCCAGGGATTCCGAGCCGCCGTCGTCGGCCTCACAGGGCGCGGCTCTCAGTGTCAAGATGCAGAAGGCACATCGATAGAAGCAATCCTCTTCTATTGCTATTATTATTATTGATATAATTATTATGATCATTAATTTGGAATAGTAGTAGTCATATTATTATTATTATTATTAGTATTATTATTAACTCTGTGCGGCAAGCCATGTCCCTCTGCACTCCCAACAGCAATTTGGGTCCCAGGCGGCCACTGGGGAGTTCTCCGCATCAGAGCCTCACGCCGGCTCTGACAGGGCTGCTTGCCACCCCCCAGCACCAAGAATTCTGAGGCGGTGGCCGCGTATGTCTTTGGGTTCGGCTAGACCTTGAAAGCAAGGGGGGCCATGCCTGCTTCTGGCCACGCGAGCTGTGACAACATTAAGCACGCCCTTCACACTTATTATGGAAGTATACTGGTACATTGTTGTATCGTATATTCATTCATTCATATATCCATATATTTTTGTATGGTTGTATCACCGTATTGATATATATTTGTATGATCTGACTACGGATCCCGAGGCCAGGGGCTGGATGCAGCAGCCTGCCTCGGTGGCAAGGGAAAGTGTCTTGGACGCTGATTCTAGGTAACCGAGGACAAAACGGGGGTTTAACAAGGCAACCCTCACCCCCAAAACCCTAAACCCTAACCCTAAACCCTAAACCCTGGGTGGGCATCCTGGGAGATAGCCCTCCGACATCTCTTCGCCCAGGCTGCTTGTCTTGACTGCCGTCCCGGAGCCGAACGGAGCTGGGAGCCGTGTCCTGGCAGCGACACACACCCAGAGACTCCAATACCCCTTAATTAAGGAATATTCCTTAAGCCATATAAGGAACCCTCTTATACTTTAAGGAATGCTCCTTAACTAAGGGGTAGTGGAGTCCTTGGGCAGGCAACCCTAAAAATACCCAGACTCCATCTCTCACTTGCTGGGGCCAAGCCTGAACTAAGCCTAAACCCCAAACCCTAAACTACAAAGCCCTAAACCCTAAACCCTAAACCCTAAACCCTAAACCCTAAGTCTGACTTGTCCCAAAGTACGGAAAAAAAAGCAGGCGCTGAGAGCTGTACGGCACCATCGATGCCATGGTTCGCAGGCTCGGCCTTCAAAAGGCTCGAAGGGCCATCTTGCTCTTGCCAAGCAGGGGGTCCAAGGTTTAGGGTTTAGGGTTTAGGGTTTAGGGTTTAGGGTTTAGGGTTTAGGGTTTAGGGTTTAGGGTTTAGGGTTTAGGGTCTAGGGTTTAGGGTTTAGGGTTTAGGGTTTAGGGTTTAGGGTCAGCATGTAGGGCACTGCATTGAGTGTGTTGGGCACGGTGCCGCAGTCCTGAAGCCCTCCGGCAGTGTCGTAGTGGTCTTTTCGAGACCGCGGTCTCATTTCCGAATGCTGCACCGAGCTACCTCCAGGTGATGTTTGGGGTTTGGGGATTTAGGGTTTAGGGATTTAGGGATTGGGGTTTAGGATTTAGGGTTTGAGGTTTAGGGTTTAGAGTTTAGGGTTCAGGGTTTAGGGTTTAGGGCTTAGGGTTTAGGGTTTAGCGTTTAGGGCTTAGGGTTTAGGGTTTAGGGTTTGGGGGGCTTTAGTTCGCAGCACTCCCCTGTCAGCACCTCCCAGGCCACAAAAGGAATCAGCATGGCAGACGGAAGCCTCAGGCCAAAGAGCATCGAAGCAACAAAGTGACATACTAGTATAACAATATAAGAACACATCTTTTGAATAATATAAATATTTAACCATATAAGATGATCTTGATATCCGAATATAAAAATCTGAGAATACAATAAAAATCTAATAATGCAACGTTAAAGCCCTGAGCGTCGCACCCCCATGCTTCAGGTTGCGCGGCGTCGCCGTGGTTCGCGTCTTGTCCCACACTGTCTATACAGGGCTGCTCAGCTTTAGTTGGCTGCTCCCGGACGTGTTTTAGTCTCGAAAGACGATGTTCCTGTCAGGCTGCTGCATCTGCCTGCTTCTGTCTGCAAAGTTGCAAAGTGTTTGTCGATAGTCCGTCGCATCTTGTCTTGAGGAATTTAAACACTGGAGCCGACAGTTGAAAGTTGAGGACCCAGCTTGGCAATAAGAAACCAGGAAAATGAACGAATCACGTCCGGATGATGCTAAAAGCCCGGTGGAACGCGGCTAGGACTAGTCCAAACGACGACCAATCAGAATAGTTAGTTTCCGGGCCTTTTCCTTCAGAGACTGAAAACCCAACAGTATGTGCGTTGGGAGGTATGCCTAATGTACGGCAGGTCCCTATCGCCTATTGTTCTGGGTTGTGGGTGAATATTGGGTGGAGGGAAATTGTTTATCCGAATTCCTGCATCTACGTCCAATCCTCTCGCCCAAGCAGGCTCTTTCACTGTCCAAGCAATTTGCTCATGAGTACCTTTGCTCATGCTTCGGAAACTTTGGAACATCGTGCTCCGCCGAACACGACATCTGGAACTAAACCCAAAACCCTACACCCGTGCGTGACGCCGCTCAGGGCTGCTTCTACCTCAGGCACGAGGTTGTAGGGTTTAGGGTTTAGGGTTTAGGGTCTAGGGTTTAGGGTTTAGGGTTTAGGGTTTAGGGTTTAGGGTTTAGGGCTTAGGGCTTAGGGCTTAGGGTTTAGGGTTTAGGGTTTAGGGTTTAGGGTTTAGGGTTGCCGAAAATAAGGGTACCTGTTGGGGTGTCCCTTTAAGGTGATTCTATTCTATTTGGGTGCGACAGGGGTACCCCCAAATTTCGGAAATCCCCATTTGTGGGCGGTTCGATGTTGGAGAAACTCCACATGTCTCAGCTGCCAGCAACTGGCCGAACCACTCCTGTCAGGGAGCTGCCGAAATTAGGGGTACCTTATTGGGGTCCTTTTGAGGGGGCCCGTATTTGCGTAAATCCCCACGTCTCACAGCAGGAAACGCGACTGCAAATGACGGAGCAGACGATCCTCCAGCTGGCTCTGGCGCGCCCTCTCCTCGCGCTCAGTCTCCTCGAGCTCGGCAATGCGAGCCGCGTCCTGGCAAGGCGAACTGTACTAGTAGAGCATTACACTGATACAGGAATAGAAAACATCAGAATATACGAAAAAAACACATTCATAGAAGAACAGACTGATACATAAATAGAAACCTATCAGAGTATGCTAATAAACCAATACACATGAACAACATGCCCCTTGCTTGTGGCGCGGGTACCACCCGAGCACCAAGTGTTGGGCTTGGTTGAAAACCCGGAACCATGTGAACCGAGCTGCCCACAAAGAAACCGAACAAAACCATAATATGATATGCAATGATATAGTAGTACAATAGTACAATAGTACAGTAGTACAAGAATACACTAGCACAGTAATAGTTTCTTAGTATAATTGAATAATCGTATAATAGTAGAATAGCATAACAGCACAATAGTATAATAGTATAATCGTATAATAGTATAATAGTATAATGGTACAATAGTATTATGGTATGATTGTATAATGGTATAAAAATATGAAAGTATACTGGTGCAATCGTATAAGACTACAAGCATAATCGTATCATAGTTCAGTTCTACTATAACCATAAAATTTATACAGGCCGGTGGTTTCTTTGTCTGTTGCCCTTATGCCAAATATCGCCCCCAAATAAGAACACCCTACAACACAGAAACCCTACTTAAAGAGACCACCAATTTAGGTAACCCTAAACCCTACACCCTAAACCCAAAACCCAAAACCCTAATCCCTTAAGAACCCTATGAATTAAGGGCTGTTTGGGCCTGGCCTACCAACATGAAATATGATGTTCCGGCTCAAGAGCTGAGAGGCGGACCCACGCAAGTTGCGCTCGGGTTCTCTCTGCCTCGACCTCAGCGACTCATTGCAAGCGAGATGCAGCCACCGTTTAGGGTTCAGGGTTTAGGGTTTAGGGGCAAGGGTTTCTTAGGGTTTGGAAGCTGAAAGAATTTTGCGCGGGAGTCCGAAAGAAAATGGCAGGAGCTGTGTCATTCAAATGCACGCAGAAGCAACATCATACGTGGGTAGCTCTCTAAACGAGCGTCCCTTGTAGGGGGTCCTTGTGATAAGGGGATCCCAAAATGGGACCCAAGTTAGAGAACTACCATACCATTATGCTATTCTACTACTATACAATTCCTCCATAAAAGCTATTAAGCTAATTCAACCCGAAACCCTGAACTCTAAACCCTAAATCCTAAACCCTAAGCGCACTAAACCCTAAATCCCTAAACCCTAAACCCCCAAACCCGAAACCCTAAACCCTAAACCCTAAGGCACAACTGTCACACCTAGACTGCCGTGAGAGCCCGACGAGCGCCAACTCTGCCTGCACGGAAGAGCTGCATCATTGAACCCTGTTTCTGGAATCCGTCCCCTGTGCTAAGCGTGTAGGGTTTAGGGTTTAGGGTTTAGGGCTTAGGGTTTTAGGGTTTAGGGTTTAGGGTTTAGGGTTTAGGGTTTAGGGTTTAGGGTTTAGGGTTCAGGGCTCAGGGCTTAGGGCTTAGTAGGGCTTAGAGCTTAGGGCTTAGGGTTCAGGGACCCTCCCAGGTGACGGAAGCCTCCGCTTCATCGACCTTTGTTTGCTCCTCTGTGATGGCATTGGCCTAAGACACACATCATGAGGAACCAAGGGGGGTGTATGGTGCCATGTTCCCCTTGTTAGGGCTTATTTAGGGTTTAGGGTTTAGGGTTTAGGGTTTAGGGTTTAGGGTTTAGGGTTTAGAGTTTAGGGTTTAGGGTTTAGGGGAAGGCTTATTTGGCATTATTTTGAGCCCTGATTTGGGGGAATACGGGGGCCCTTAGAACCCCCTCCGTTCCACCTCCTTGGTTCCTTATGGAAAAAAAAGCTGGCGCATCCCAGCCACCGCTTCCTTCGGCCCTGAGGTTCTGGCCACCAGTGTTGCCTGCAAGGGTATAATCATCGAATGGTATTATGATTTAACAATATACAATTTCGCTGCATCATCATAGAAGAATGTAAGAATATGGCACTATACTGCAGAATGTAAGTCAAGTGTTCCAAACACCAACGCGCGCGCCTCGGATGGAATGAGGCAAAGCCCCACGATGATCGCCACCGTGATGACCTGATGAACGAACCCAAAGCTCGTTGACGAAAGAGGCTTCCAAAGCCGGGTCCATTCTGCATCCTGGAACTAAGACTCCATCGAGACGTCCACCAGCCCTTGGCGCTTCTTCCAGCACTACCATCGGATGAGTGCCTAAACCCTGAACCCTAAACCCTAAACCTCAAACACTGCGGCATTAAGCGGTGAGATGCTCACGTCATGGGCTCAATGTCGCCGAATCCAACAGTGGAGAGCGCGATCACGCTGAAATAGAAGGATGAGAAGATGTCGGCAAACCTCCGAGTGTGGGTCGGAGGTACGCATGCAGTATGGAAGCTCTGTCTTGGGATGTTCCCCCTTATCCTAACAGTCCTTCATAGGGATGTTTATAGGGGGTCCTATAATCCCCATTAAGGACGGTTAGGGGAACATCCCACGGTACGCATGTAGCAAGCAAGGGGTGGTATAGAAGCTCTCTCCGACGTAGGAGTAAGCTGCAAGCTGCGGGTTCACGGCATGCTCGGCTTCATAACACAGCCTGTCCCAAGTAGGTTCGGCTCCAGCTTGTGCCACTGGACATCAACTCAAAAAATACATAAAATGCAAAGCAACAGTGTTTAAAGAACAAAAAACACACACAGACACACAAAAAAAAGGCCACCCGGCTGTGACGAAGATCAGCGTGAAGACCACACCGAAGGTCCGCAAGACCTGGCCCAGCATATGTAGTGTATTGAAAATGCATATACACATACATGTACATATACATATACATATACACATACACATACACATACATATACACATATATATATATATATACATAAATACATATATTCTATTCTGGATTTCTTGATCTCTTACTGATTTAACTGATTCTCCTGGATATTCATATGATCTGTATCTTGTGATGTTATTCTTCCTACTCTCTATTCTACAATCGGGCCTGGAGCTGATAGGGCTTGACTTCGCGGAGACCTTCCTCATAGGGCTCCGCCTGAGCTGGCAGGGGGGTTTAGGGTTCAGGGCCCACCAAAAAAGGGCCCACACCCTAAACCCTAAAAACCCTAAAAACCCTAAAAACCCTAAAACCCCTAAAAACCCTAAAAACCCTAAAAACCCTAAAACCCTAAAAACCCTAAAAACCCTAAAAACCCTAAAAACCCTAAAAACCCTAAAAACCCTAAAAACCCTAAAAACCCTAAAAACCCTAAAAACCCGAAAAACCCCAAAAACCCTAAAAACCCAAAAAAAAACCCAAAAACCCTAAAAACCCTAAACCCTAAACCCCACAGTCTAGGTCAACCCCCGGACTCGCTGGTCGCCTGCTCCGGGCCGATGAGGATCCGGAGGAAGCTCTGGAAAGCCTCTGGGAAGCACAAAGAATATACTATAATATACGATAATATACTAGAATATAATACAATATACTATAATATACGAGAACATTATGAAATATAACATAACATAAGAAATCAGGAGCAAAAGCGGGAGGCCCCTTCCCAAAGCACGCCTTTGGTCGGAAGAAGCCTTTGCATGCGCCGCAGACAGTCACAAGAAATCAGGTACGAAAGGTACGGTAACGAGCAAGAATATCCCCAGGCAAGGCTCGATAGATTCGCAGAACTCGGATCAGCTTCAGAAAGTTCAGCTCCATCGAGCTAATCCAAGGGACCTGAAGGCCAGGAAAGCCAACGGAAAGCGGCGATACAGCGAAGCATCGGTTCGAGGAAGCCACCCATGGCCGCAACAAGAAGGGCAGGACACAAACCAGGTCGACAAGCCTCGGACAGAGGAGGCAAGTCGCACCAAAGATCCTAAACCCTAAACCCTAAACCCTAAACCCTAAACCCTAAACCCTAACCCCACCTCAAGCCGTCTTCTCAGGCCACACCTCGCCCAGTTCTGTAAGTTAGGGCCCCCCCTCCTTGGGTGCCATGAACGTATCATGACAAGGGGGCCAGAGTTTAGGGTTTAGGGTTTTAGAGTCTATGTTTACGCTAAGGGAATGGACCATTTCGCTGCATCTGAGCAGACAACATCGACGGATTGAACAGGTACTGCCATCGCAGGCCGCGACACCACCAACCTCGGCGGACAAAGCATGAAGGCCACCCTAAACCCTAAACCCTAAACCCCAAACCAGCATCTCAGCTGCAACATCTTCACGCCAGCTCCCAGACCCTAAACTCTTAACCACCTCTTGCACTGAGGCAGCTTCGAGCGGCGAAATCCAGGAAGAACAGGACATTTATCGACGAGGCCGCCCTGCTTGTGCACTTTAGGTTTAGGGTTTAGGGTTTAGGGTTTAAGGTTTAGGGTTTAGGTTTTAGGGATGTTTAGGGATGTTTAGGGTTGAGGGTTTTGAGGGTTTGCAGAACGCTCCAGTATCGGAATTTCCAAAATCGGGGGGACCCCTTCTATACCTCAAAATGAGTAGAATCCTCCCCTTAAAAGGGACTCCCAAAGCTGGGTGGCCTAACTTGGGGAAGCTCCGTGCATCAGTTGTTCACAAGTCAGAAACTGGCTGTTAGATTGTCCTGTGCGGTTTTCCAGCTCGCGCCCTTTGTGGCGCGTGCTTGGAGTCTGGGCTATTGCAATGTGGGCACAAAACGCCCTCCACCCGGCTATAACGACGGTTTGCCGTACAGCAAGGTCAGGATTTACGCAGCCCATTCCAACAAACCCGAAACACTCACACACCAGCACGGGGGCGGGGGGGGGGACCCCAACGGGCCCTCAACCCTACTAAGCTCCAATTTTCTCATCGCAGCTGCATATCTGTGGCCACGACGCTGCCAGCACGCGGATGGTGCCCTCCGTGACTCCCGGCCTAAGGGAAGTTAGGAAGTTTCGTAACTAAGGGCTTAGTGTCTTGGGATTTGCGGTCTATCGAGGCTTGAAGGTAGAGTCTGGCATTAAGAACCCTAAATGCCAAAGACAACTGTTTGTCGCTCCCTGTGCTAGCCCAGGATGGGAAAGACACTCCCGGCTGGGGAGACGGCGACCGTGCCAGCACGTAGATAGCGCATGCCAAGCCTCGTATGGGCATTTCCCAAGATGCAATGCAACCCCCAAAGCAGCACCCTCATCCTCATTATATGAACCCCCAAAAAACAAGCACCAACCCAATTTTATTTTGGAAGAAAGCACCAAGTCTAAACCCTAAACCCTAAACCCTCAACCCTAAACCCTAAACCCTAAACCGACTCATGGAAGGCTTGGAGAGCCTGCAAGCAATGCGTTGGAGATCTCCGACAAGGGAGCATGCTGAAGACGATCGATCTCAGCCTCAGAGCCAACTTGCGCGACTTGGCCTAACAGGTGGCTCTCCTTCTCACATATAAGGGCAGTTCTCTAAGTTAGGGTCCCTTTTCTGGGTCCATAGTATTAGGGTGCCGTATTCTTCCCCAAACCCTAAACCCGAAACCCTCAACCCTCAACCCTAAACCCTAAACCCCAAACCCTAAACCCCAAACCCTAAACTTTAAACCCCAAACCCTAAACCCTAAACCCTAAACCCAACCACCCTAAACCCCCTCTTCAAGACCAGCTTGTGCTGCGTCCGGGGTGCCGCGTAGGGCAAGGGGGTAAAGTCCTCCTCGTCGGCCAGCCTGCTGCTCAGCAATCAGGGGATAGGATTAGGGGGACCCTTGGGGCTATAGACCCTAAATAAGGTCCCTGTTTAAGAGAGCCAGAAGGGTTCCTTTTTAAGGGCCCCCCTTATCCTACCTAGGAGCAATGCTGAGCACAACAATGCTCAATATTATATCCTCATGCCGGAAACCGCCCATGCCCCTCATCAAAATCAGCACTATCTTCTTTATCTATCTCCGAGGAGAGGAACGTAGTTCATGCCTGACTCTCAACATGGCTTATGGCGCGATTCTGTGCAGAACTCAAGGGGGGGGGGGGAATCGGACTGCCTGAGGTACTCCTCAGTCCAGCTGTCGTCGACGTCGTCGATTGCCACCTGCTGAGCTGAAAAGCCAGCGACCCACGCGGAGACAGCACTCGGCACCCTAAACCCTAAACCCTAAACCCTTAACCCTTAAACCCTAAACCCCCAGCGCAAGTGCAGGTGCCTCATCTCTTTGCAGCGAGGCCGGGCTCTCTCTTGCGGATCTTGAAGCAGAAGGAGCGGGCTCTGGCATGGATGGCCCACGTTCGACAGGCGATGCGACAGGTTCGATGAGGAAGCCCACGCACGTGGATGCCAAAGCATCGGTGAGGGACCCACCGCGGCCCAGCGAAGAGCTCTCGAGGCAAGAGATCCCCACACCCACGTCTGCCAACTCCTTCCCGAGGCCATCTGCAAGGGATCGGACAAACGCCATGGAGCCTGCGAAAGCACATGCTCCCGCCACGCCCGGCGTCGTTCCTGCCGGTGCGCCGACCAGAAGGATCCGCCCACGCTTCGCCTGCGCCATATCTCGCGCGAAGAGCAGGCAGAGGGCGGCAGTTGCCCCAACGTTCTGAGCAAGCATGCGGTCCAGCTTGTCGGCGCTCTGGCTGAGAAATGGGCCGGTGTAGGAGTATCGGTCTGAGCAAACCATCAGCATGCACACGTCCAGGTCCTTCAGCTTGTCGTGCAGGTGCGAGGCCCCTTCCGAGGGGTCCGAGAGGCTGATTGGCACCTTTAAGATGCGATCCGTCGCGCTGCTCCCTGCGATGGCCACTGCATCCAGATCTGGTAGGGCTCAGGGTTTTAGGGTTTTAGGGTTTTAGGGTTTTAGGGCTTTTAGGGCTTTTAGGGCTTTTAGGGTCTTTAGGGCTTAGGGATCCAGGCCTTGTAGGGCCGACTCGTCGTCTGTGAGTATGAGGCCGAAGCCTGCCTCCGCCAAGGCCAGGGCTCATGAGGGTTTAGGGTTTAGGGCTTAGGGTTTAGGGTTTAGGGTTTAAGGTTTAGGGTTTAGGGTTTAGGGTTTAGGGTTTAGGGTTTAGGGTTTAGGGTTTAGGGTTTAGGGTTTAGGGTTTAGGGTTTAGGGTTTAGGGTTTAGGGTTTAGGGTTTAGGGTTTAGGGTTTAGGGCGACGAGCTGTCGAGTCTCTAGAAGCGATTGCTGGCAACAGATGCTGGAAGCTTCGCACTCCGAAGTGTTCCACCCTCTTTTGCTCTCTTTTGTGGGGGCCCCTCTCTGAGGACAAGTTCCCGGAAACCTGGTCCAGTGGGGGGGGGGGGGTGGCGGGACCACACGTACTCGCAAACCCGTGATTTAAGGAGACACGGCCGGGTTTCTCTGTAGGGAAAGCTCGGATGTTGCAGCGCTTCCTACACCCCAAATGTCAAGCATGCCAAAGGCTTCGAAGCCTGCCTCTGCACAGGCTGTCGCGAGCTTCTGGCCCAGTCCAGTGGCAGCGCCAGTGACCAGGGCCCAAGAGTCTGCTGGCGTAGGCAGCGGGGACAGATTGCGGCTCGCGTACTTGGCGCGGCAGCGGGCGCGGAATGCGATTCCCAGTGCCACGCTAGACACCTGGCGCCACTTCGGGTAAACGGCCGTGCCAGCCAGGCTTTCACTCTTAGCTTTGCCGAGCCGACTGGGTCGGCTGGGCCGGCTTGGGTGCGAAGGTGGCTCCAAAGCCAGGGCATGCGACACAGGCCATGCGCGCCATGGCTTGCCAGCCGGCTGGGCCCACATTGCAGGGTCACTTCTTTGCACAATGCTTGTTGCAAGTTGTTCAAGGTGCGCTTTCAAGCCCAAGACTTTGCAGGCTGTGAGCCATAACGAAGGCATGCCGTTGCAACGAGCTCGCACCGCAATATCCAAGCCATCATGATACTGCACCGGGGGAAAGACTACAGCCATGGACTGCAAAGCTCTCGAGCAGTTTTGAGCTAAACAAACGTCCGCAATGTTTGCGTCAGAACTACTGCGCGAACAGGAAGGAGGAATGAGCAGCTGCATCAACAAGTGGAGGTGTCCAATCCCACCTTGGGTAAGCAACGCCCAGCACTGATGGCTGCCCCTCTGTCCAACTGCACCGTGCAAATACTTGCCACGACTGCGATTTCAGAACCGTGCCAGCAGCTGCACACACGTGCGTGACTTCGCCGAAAAGGCTGGGGCCGGGGCGCTCGTGCCTCCCACTCCTTGACACCGAGAAGATATTCGCAGGCACAAGAGGCTCACCCCCTAAACCCTATAGGCCCTAAACGAGGGAGCCTCTGCGTCCGAGGACGTCCGCAGTGCAGCCACCACGGCTGGCTGGTCCCTAGGAAGATGAAGAGATATCAAAAGTACAAAGCACGTTACAGAGGCTTCCGACAGCAAGGTGGTACCCTTTCTAGCTAAGAAGGCGCTGCGGTTATATAAGAGGGGGTATACCCCTACTTTGGGGAAGTATTTTGGGATGTTCCCCCTTGTACTAACACAAGCACCCTAAACCCTTAACCCTAAACCCTAAACCCCAAACCCTAAACCCTAAACCCGAAACCCTAAACCCTAAACCCTTACTTTGGGGAACTACCCAGAGTATGGACGTGTCGAGCGCGTCTCGGCGCCCCACTTCCCTGCCGACGCAAGCGCAAGCCGAGGAGGCCTGTAGCCTCTGCTTGCGACACGGTTTAGGGTTTAGGGTTTAGGGTTTAGGGTTTCGGGTTCAGGGTTCAGGGTTTAGGGTTTAGGGTTTAGGGCTTAGGGTTTAGGGTTTAGGGTTTAGGGTTTAGGGTTTAGGGTTTAGGGTTTAGGGTTTAGGGTTTAGGGTTTAGGGTTTAGGGTTTAGGGTTTAGGGTTTAGGGTTTAGGGTTTAGGGTTTAGGGTTTAGGGTCCTAAACTCTGAAGCCCCAAACTTGCCCTGAACCCCTAAATCCTCATCCCTACACCCAAAACCCCTAAACCCCTAAACCCTGTAAGCCCTAGAGATGTTTGTCAGCATCGGTATTCTACATGTGCCGTGGATTGGTCTTATTAATGTTTCTCGATTGCCTCCAAAATGTTGCTAATGCTGGTCACCTTTGATTGAGGAGGACGAGGAGGAGGAGGAGGAGTGGGAGGAGGAGGTGGTGGCAATCGAAGCTGTAAACTTAGAAGAGGAAGCGATGGAAGCAAAGAGTCATCGGTAGCAGCCGTCGTCTAAAACTCTAAACCAAAAACCCTACAGTCTGGCAGTCCGGGGTCTGAGGACAGGACCCCAAACCTGGCGATATCTGGGTCCGTACTGGATCCCCCCGGCCTCTCAACAAAGGCTCGGGCTTGGCTTAGCCGCTTGGGTTTGGAGAGGGCTTAGTGTTTTTATATGGGTTTGGGCCTTCCGGGCGGCTACGAACGGGTCATGACCGATGTCTCGGACCCACACCGCTACGCTGTGGTACATCGGCTTGTGGCTGACCTCCACCATCCTCGGAACGATGCAAGCTCCGGAGCTTCCGCCACCAGCAGTGCCCCCCTAAGGCTGGCGCAGAAGGCTCCCACCTCCATCCTGCTTACCTGCACCTGCCAAGAAGCGAAGACAAAAGGGCACTACCACCAAAGGGATGTCGCGTGGATCCCATCGTGCGACGAAGGGCCTTCTGAGCTATTTTCAGCACGAAGCATCGCAGGAACCTCCGGCACGGGCAGCGAAGCTTCGAACTTCCCACGAGAAATGCAAAAGGCATCGGCGAGCTCTTGTGGCATCCAAGACCTCGCGCAAATAAACGCAACCAAACGGGAGGTACGCGAGAGTTCCCACGCGTAGCTTCTGAGCTCAGAGCCGAATGGGTTCCAGGACCTCGCAAGCCATAGAGCGCAAGCAAGCAATTGACAGGAGACAAGACACGGACTTTTCGCTTCTTACTCCACTCGGCCTCCTTCAGGTCTGCGGCGGACAGGAAAGCCTCCACCTGAATTCTGTAAACGATGGGCGTCACGGGACGGCACTCAAGGGCGGCCAGAGCGTAAGATGCCCTAAACACGCGCTAGACTCACTCGAGAAAAGGCGCCTCGCGTCCACACTCCTTGAGAGTGCGAAGGGCGTTTTCGACCAGGGCGGCATCTTGTGCTTGGTCGGCCTCTTGTACGGCTGCGCCTTGGATGCCAGGGGGATCGGCTACACAAGACAAGAACCAGCTAGACAACGGCGCACGGTCCGAGAGGGCGGCCCAGCTCTGACAACATCTCACTGCGAAGGTCCGAACCTGCCAACATCTACCCCCTAAACCCTAAACCCTAAACCCGCACAAAATTGTAGCACCCTCTAGCACTTCAGAAGCCCAATATGGGAGAATATCCGGGATCCCAGGCTTGGTGGCTCCAGCCCCATCTGCCGGTGGAGCGAGGTCAGGAGCCGAAGCGCCGCTGCCTGGAAAAGCATGCAGAGCCTTAAGCCTCAACAAATGCTACTACAGGGGCCTTAAGAAGGTAGGGTTTTGGGGCTTACTATAGAAAAAGTATATAGGAACCAGCAGGGAATACCGTCAGCAATTTTTCCGACCTATTGCCCGGATTGTTGCAGTAGTTGTCCCGTGTTCTCCCGTATCTCCCGTGCCTCAGCTGCAAAGTCCCCGCGCTGCTGCGCCAAGCGAAGCGCTCGCTGGGCGTGCGAGGCAGCCGTATCCAGGCTGGCAGAGTCGCTGGAGTCCAGGAAGGGCGGCTGCGCCGCCATCAACGACACCTGGATCTGAGCCGCCTCTCCCTCCCGGCCGAGGGTGCGCAGGCGTCCCAGGACCTGCAACAAAGAGGTGCGGGCCTTGTTGGGGTCCGCCCGTGTGTCGGGGGCGGCGGAGACGGCCGAGGCCAGCGCAGCGAGGGCGCCGGCCTCGGATCGGCTGCCGGCCTTGCGGGCGCTCCGCACCTCCTCCTCGGCCAAGCGCCGGGCCTCCTCGAAACGGCCCTGTCGAAGGAGGGACTCCACTAACCGCTCCAGCGCAGCCGCCTGCAGGGGGCCCAGGCCCAGCGCGCGGGAGGCTTCCAGGCAGTCTTTGGCCGCGGCCTCGGCGAGCTCCGCACTTGCGCCCTCGCGGCTCTGCTCCAGCGCATGCACCAACACCAGAGGCCGCGGAGGACGCGGACCGGTCGGCAAGGGCGACAGCCATGCACTGGCAGACAGGAGCCGGCCAATGGCTTCGGCTTTCGAGCCCTTGGTGCCCTTGGTGCCCTTGGTGCCCTTGGTGCCCTTGCCCTCATCTACAAGTTGCTGGGCAGCCGCAAGCGCCTCGTTAAAGCTGCCCATTCGGCGTAGGCCTATGGAGACGAAGCCGTGTGCCACCAATCGCAACTCATCGGGGAGGTCGACTTCGAGCATGCGCCGGGCGAAGCCCAGGGCTTGTTCCGGCCTTTGCCTTGCAAACTCAGCGCGCGCCTGGAGTCGAAGAAGACGCGCCTCAGAGCACTCGAACACCAGAAGCAGCACAGATGCAACAGTCGACACAGAGGGCCTCAAGCTTTCCATTGCCTGCTTCAAGAGCCTGATCAACAGCCAGTGCATTGTAACACAAGATACGGAGAGCGGACGAGCCTGGCTCAGAGCTTCGCCAAAATCTTTCCCTGGTCCCGCGGTGGATAGCCTGGCCTCTCACAAAAAAGAGGGTTGCCGAAATTAGGGGTACCTTTTTGGGTCCTTTTTAGAAGGGAATCCTGCTATTTGTGGTCTAAATGAGGGGTCCTCTATTTTCGTAAACTCCCAGAACGTGCCAGAAACCCACAGGTGCAGTCAACGGCCTCGGCCAGTGCCAGGCTTGCCTCAGGCGCACATCACATCCCAATACTTGGACCTTCCAGAACCCGCCCCTTGTTGGTGGGGCCCCTATACACCCTCTGCTAGGATCCTGTTCACCATTATATCAAGGTTCTTGTAGATGAACCCTAAACCCTACTGTGAAACCCTATAAACCCTAAACTGTTCTGGAAGGGCAGGGCGGGATGTCAGGATGCATGGGGGTCCCTTCCGGACAAGCCTCCGCCAGCTCATCAGGTCCGGCGGCAGCGTATGCCTGGAAAGTGGCATCAAGAATCTTCCGCGACTGGGTTTCGGGTTTCGGGTTTCGGGTTTAGGGTTTAGGGTTTAGGGTTTAGGGTTTAGGGTTTAGGGTTTAGGGAACGTGCCCACTTTGCTGCAGACGACTCGGCCGGATCCTATCACCTTTGCCTTCTCGGCTTCTTGCAACTCTTCGACTGCAGAGTAGCCCGCCTGGCAGCTTCTGCAACTTACGATGAACGGTTCCACTAAACCCTAAACCCTAAACCCTAAACCCGAAACCCAAAACCCGCTTCAACCAAGGTCAGAAGCGTCCAGCGGCGGGACAAGGACAAACATCCTGAGAGCATCAAGCCAAGGCCCCATCTGGGTGACTCAGCAGCTGGAGTTCTGCATCAGCCCATCGGGAAGCCTCACAACGCGTGTGGAGGGGAGAACATGCCCAATCTGCGACGCGGGAAGCACACACAGCGTTGCTATCCCAGAGAAAGGGAGGAGCTTTTCCTGGCCTTCATGATCTGAGAGGTCGCAGCGGCTGCGGACTCATGTGATCAGAATTCATCAGAGCACCCTAGGCTTTCCATGATCCTCCTGGCCTGCAACAAATGCAATGCTACTGTTGAGTAGCAATCCCGACCTGCCGGAACAACATGCAAGATTTCCACTGGCCCTATGTCCTGAAGCTATCTATTGAGTGGGCTTACACTTGCACAGGACGATACTGCGATCAGCTTCAAGTAGAAACAAACAACTAGTCTTCGCACCCTGCTGGCTGCGAGGTGGGTTGACCTGCAGGCTTGGAGGATACTCTATGATCCAAGTACTTCTGGCAGAGCTCCTGAGGCCTGAACCCTCTTTGGGAACACATGCAACTAACCCGAGGAGAAGCTACCCTCACGAGCTTGCAGCTTGAACCAATAGGAGGACCTTAACCAGGATGTGTCTGGCACGTCTATTTTTGCAATCAAGTGTGGCAGAGAAGCTTCACATGGCTTGCTCTTCAGGACGCCTTGCAACCAACCCACGGGAAAAGCTCGACTCCCAAAGTCTTTCATTCACCCGAAGTCTGCAGCGACCTCGTCGGACATCTGGGCACCTCAGCCAGCCCAGAGCTCAGGGCCAAAACCACAAGGACGGCTGCGCATCCAAGCCCCCACATCACCCCAAAAGCGACATGCCAACCTGAAAACACCTACTCCAAAACCTCCCAAAACTCCCAAGGGTGGCCTTGGTGCACTTGGAGTCACTGGCCCCAATCCATCATGGCATGTGCCGACAGCTCCTCCGACTTCTCCCACAGCTCGCGAAAGCTCCAGCTGGACCGAGGCTGCGTCGAAGACTCCTGCCTATTTGTGGGGTTTACGAAAGCGTGGGCCCCCGAAAGTAGACCCCAAACACCAGGATCACTAGGACTCCCTGATAATATGGACCCCAGTAAGGTACCCCAATTTCGGAAACCACCATGTCCTAGAATTCAGCAAGACGTTCTGGGTGGGGACGATCCACATTGCCCATGCAGCTCTTGAACAAGAAGTTCCATGCGCTGCAAGTAGGGGCCATGTCGTGAGTGGCATCGAGAGGTCCACTGCACACGTCATGGACCAAGCTTCTCCGAATACCTCGGCAAGGATATGCGCCAGGGTCGGCTGGGTCGGGCTGGGGACGAAGGTTGGACTCCAGGTTGCTCAGCAAGAGCACGCAAGGTGTACTGCAAGAACCCTCAAAACTTGACACCATTCCTGCTCAGACTTGCCCCAACTAGCACTCTAAACATACCCAAGGAGACTATGAAGCACATCTCCCGCTGAAGCGCCAGCTCTATCTTGCAGCATGCAAGTGCGCTTCATTAGGGTCGTCCCGATACTCCCGGCCTGGCGTTAAATCCTCTAAACAATCCGAGCACACAAAAAATCAGACAGGTCACGTCCGGAGCAGCCGGTCCACATAGTGGATGTAGTCGTCACCTTGCGAAGTGTCGAGGTAGATTCGATGCCAAAAAGGACAACACAGAAGAAAGACTTCCGAAGGGCTTTCTTTCTTAAGCGCAGTCAAGACACAGGTCAAGTGACCTTAGTAGCAAGGCCCACGACTCAGGATATCTCGTAGGTGCCGGTAGGGGGATATATACAGGGTCCAACCCAAGACTGCGAGGGCACTAGGGGCGTTTTCAATCTCCATCCTGTGAGACATCCACGTTGCCAGGTAATCCACACAGGACGACTACTACGCTACTACATGCCACTACGAGACGTGAAAGTAACGACCACTTACTGTACAACATGGCCCTGTGAGGGACTTCACCGAAATCAATACAGCTCCCACCTGCTAGTAACTTAGCAAGTCTATTGCACTTGAACTCGCCCTGAGCTTCCATGCTTCTGTGCGTCCAGGGGCGGTGAGGTACGATTTCAGAATATCTCGCGTATTGAGCAGCCCTTACACACGTGGAAAAGTCGAACAATTAGCCGAGCTCGTAAGAAACGGTCGCAGAATTTCAAGGGCCGGAAACTCAAGCATGAATTGCTCCCTGGCTGCGTTGCACACATCCAGTGACAGTCGAGAAGATTCGATACGAGAAGTGTGTCCGAGAAGCTACGAGTACCTTCCAGGCCTAGCTCAAGACCTCCAGGTTTGGTTGCTGCTCTTGGTTTCAGAAGGCGTTTCTTCTGTTAGGTCTCGGGTTTTAGAGCTTGGGATTCCTGGGCTCCGAGTTCAGGTTTCGGACCAAGCATTCAAGAAAACGCCACGACCACTGCAGCGGCATCAACCACAACAAGCGGTGGACTTTAAGGGATGGAGACTGTCAGTGCATGCCAGCGCTTATGAGAAAGGCCTCATGACGACAGTAGAGGGTCGGTGAACTCATGCAGAAGCGCTGTGGCCGCGACGATGGGCAAAGGCCATCCCATTCTGCGCGATGGCCTTGGCCTCCGCGTCGTGCGACATGAGCCAAAGCAGCCGGTCCACCAAGTCGCTGAGGTCGTACCTGACAGGATAGGTCGCCCTAAACCCTAAACCCTCAACCCTCAACCCTAAACCCTAAACCCCCAAACCCCGGATTTGGCTTTTTTTGGGGGGGGGGGGGGAACAAGGTGAAGAGCTTCCACGACACATGTCGCGCGGGTCACGACACGGGGACGAAGTGGACCCAGGGCTGCAGCATGTTCAGCGGCGACATCACCTGCCAGGCTTTGCCTGGGATGAGCACCACGGAGCCCATGAAGAGCTGCCAGGAGAGGCGGTCGGTGGCGCTGTTGCCTTCCATGGCAATCTGATACTTGTACTGCCCAAAGACCTCCCCGGCGATCCTGGAGCCGATGAGCTCCTCATCCCACAAGAACTCCTCAAGGCTCTTCTCCATTCGCGGCATCTGTGAGGACACCGAGGCTTCCACAAACTTGGCATCAATGAATGGAACGAAGCGACTCAGCCAGACCAGGCGACCACGTGGCAGCTGGAGCCAGGTGCTGAAGTTCCACACCGGCTGCCTCACCTGGCCGGGCGGAAGACTTACGCATCTCTCCATCATCTCCTCGGCTTTTGCGGCCAGCGCGGCCCTGCAGTCCTCAACCCAAAGGTTGGAGTGCGTTCCCCTCCAGATTAACACCGCTTTCCGGTCTTCCCACCGGAGTCGTTCAACAGCCAGCATTCCTTCCTTCAATCTTCGTTGGCACTGAGCAGGGTGCAACTGCCACTCGAAAGGTAGAGCCAGCGTGGCTGTCCAGAGAGTGCCGGTTCGGGTGAACACCGGCGCTTCAGGAAGGGTGTTTTCGACTGTCTCGTCACCGGCGTTCAGGACAAAATCCAAAGCCGGAAGGGGGTTGATGGACTGGATGACTCTTAATGCGAGCAGGACTGCTCGCAAGTATGAGCAGTCGAAATCATGGCACGCATGGCTCTCTGGGCAAGATGACACTGTTCCATCTTCGTGGACTGATATGATGCAACCTTTCGCATACCTTCCATCACCCAGGTCCCAGGTGAGGTGCGGCCCATCCGTCCAAATGCTCTCTCTGCGCGGCCTCAGCATCTCTAAGTCGGAACTGATGCTTGCCTGTAGAAGGTCATCCACTGGATGGAAGGTCTTGCGCGAGTAGACTGGGAAGCAGCACCGCGTGAACTCTGCCCAGATCTGTTGCTCGTCCCGCAGGGAACTGTCCTGACAGTAGTCCTCTGCTGGTTCACAGCAGTCACAGTTGCGGCTCCATATCAATGGCGAGTCTGGTACACTACATGCCCATGCCCACACGGCAAGAGGCTGGGCGAGCATCACCTGGTAGGCAACCGAGTTCTGCACGAGCCCTTCCACCATTTCTTGTAGCCCTGCTGCTTCCGCTCGCGCCAGCAGAATACTCAAGCTCTGCAACTTGCTTTCCACGCGCTCCTCAATGTCGTCGAAGCACTGCTGGTGCTGATCCGTGAGACGATGGCAACAAAGCTCAGCAATGGCCCAGATGCCCCTCCAGCAATCAGGATCTGCCTCAACGCAGCAGCGATGGAAGCTCCGGTCACCTCACAAGAAAGAAAAGCGCCCAAAACATGTGGGGTTTACGATAGTAAGGGACCCGAACTCCCCAACAGACCCCAACATAAAAATGACCCTTGATGTCCACCGAAGGGTACAACCCTGTTTTCGGAAACCCATTTCGTGGAAACCCTGGGGACATGTCTCATCCGTTTGGCACACAGTCCTACGAAATCTCTTTTCCCAAAACCGCCCTGGAGCATTTCCGGACGCGCAGGTTGACGGTTTGGAGATGTTTGGAGCTTAGCGTTTCCAACTTTCAGGTTCAGATTCGCCGCCGCTGGACCCATGCCGCGACTCCGTTACCCAAAAGCCGCTGTAGCGGCTGAACTATCGCGGCGCGCTAGCGCTTCTTATCGAAGAACCGCAGCCACAGGCACATTCAGCCAAGATGCTGTTGTACCAGCACAAGCCATTGCCCCGATCTTCTGGATCGACCTCCTGGCCAGCGACCACTGCAAGTAAGGCAAGAGCGATGCGAGAGGCCACGGCCAGGTGGACCATCGCCATGTTTTGGGATGTCCCCCCTTGGACTAACAGCTCAGGACCTCCTTAATCGGGATTATACTTGGCTGCACTCAGGAGGGTAGCTATACATGAAACTTTTAGCTGCCTTTATAGGAAACCCAATAAACCCAATAAAAAGGTAAGGATCTAAAGTTACAGAAAAGTACCACAAAGTATAGTACCCCCTATTATAATCCCTAATGAGAATTAAGGACTGCTAGTATAAGGGAGAACATCCCCCAAGGCACGCTCAACACAGGAAGGGGATGGATCTGCGTGCAAGGAATTGGCAGAAGTGCCTCTGACCGATGAAGAACCCTAAACCCTAAACCCTAAACCCTAAACCCTCTAGTCAGCCGTGTGTCTTCTCTAGGTTTCGTGATGTTCAGGGAACACTGAAGCTGAGAGAATGCGGGAACCGGGAAGTTGCATCTTTCGGCAGCACGCAGAAAATAAAGTTAGGGTTTAGGGTTTAGGGTTAGGGTTTAGGGTTTAGGGTTTAGGGTTTAGGGTTTAGGGTTTAGGGTTTGGGGTTTAGGGTTTAGGGTGCCTGTCGGCTGCTCGGCATTTCTCATAGCCGCCACTGCTCGGAAAGCACAGCTTTGTGCCTTCAGAGGTACCCGTGCTTCCGAACATCGTCGCGCACTTCAAAGACTCTAAAGCAAGATACTAATGGCATCGCGCACCAAGGCCGTGCCGACATGGGAACAGCGTCCCAACTCCCTGAGCCAGCACGACAGCCTTGAAATTTGTGAGGCTACTGCGGCGGCTCTAACGCGAAGGGAAGAGGAAGATCAAGCTACATGATGCCTGTATGTGAAGCACGTGTATAGCTTGTGAGGCTGTAGCATTCTCAAAGCACTGCTTACCTTCCCACATCATGCATTGCACCTGCACACTAACATGTGTACCACAGAAACAGCTGCGCCAGCTGGGCAGTGCTGAAAGATCTCCGCAAAACTCTAGCAAGAGGGCCACGATTTACCACATTGGCATTGCAGACAACTAGGGTCCCCTTTGTGTACCCGAAAGTACGATCCTCCCTGCTTGAGGGAAAACTCAAGAAGCGTACTCCCGATTCCTGGGACCCACACATTGATTCCGGTGCTCCGGGCCCTGGGGCCCAGGTCCCAGCTTTCAGCACAGCTTTCAGCACAGAGCGTTATGTACAAAGTGATTCAGACATCTGTCAAAGACAGGATGCCAAGCAACATCAAGGAACCCCACGGACATGGCCCTAGTGAGCTGAACAGTTACTGCCGTAGAGATTAAGGTGCCCGAGATTGGTTCGGCTTGGTGGTCCTGTCAGCCTGAGGCATATCACAGCTCGCACTCATTCTACGGTCATCACAATACTTATCGAGCCTCAAGCCTTCTAGGCTCTGACAAATGTCACATTGGAGATCCGACAAGTGCATGCGCGACAGGTGATTGGTGCAGACAAGTACAATACTGTTTGTGCAAAACAGGATGCACGTGGCACGAGTGGATCAAGGCCTGCAAACTGAAGGCACAAATATGGCTGTTTAACTCAGGAGGTCTTCTGCTTGCAGGAAAATTTGCAATGCATGCTCCGACAATACCTGTCGACTTCTCTTTGAAGCCGTCTTGCAGAGGGACGCACGGTGTTGGGGTCGTCGCACAGTCGTTCGATCGTCAGTGCTTCCCTCCAGCAACCGTCTCAACTGCACGCGCCCCATGTCTACGGCCCTGCTTCAGATGAGAAGGGTCCGGTACTGGCCACGAAGGCCCTCATTCCTGTCGCGACGGGACGTCAGCGGCTTCTCATCTCAACAATGATGCGATTGAAGCCCTAAACCCTAACCCTAAACCCTAAACCCTCCAAACATCACGTTTGCCCGGTCCTGCACTGCAACAGCCCGCGGAACTGGCTGCGCTGGGCCCTGCAGCACAAAGTGAGCTGACAATCTTCTCAACTGCCAAGAGATGGGTCCCTCAAACTCCTCCGTGTGTACATATTTTTATATCTTTATGTAAGTAACTATGTATTTATTTCAATATACATATAAATATAAATACATATATATATATATATGTATATATATATAGCTATATCCATGTACATTCATGTATATACTATACTTCTTTCTGCGTGTTAGATATCTACTTCTTTGAATATTATTGGTTGTAAATTGAACTAGAATTCTATTTGTATCTATATTTGCATTTTCATTTAGACTCTATCTATACTTCTTTTATTTATTTTTGCATGCGTGTGTATATGTATATATATATATATATCTACGCACCTGCATACCTTTAAGGGATTGAAGGGTACCTCACTCCCAAATTCCCTACTCACTTGCCACTCACCCCTTCCACGTCCGTCCTCGCATTCCTCCCCGCTCACGTCTTCGTCGGTTACGATTGGCGCACTTTCCTGACCAAGCCACCAAACTGGGATGCTGTGAAAGTACGTAAAGTTTCCTTATAAACCCCTTTAAGCAATACTGCCATGATACGAATCTCTGTTCCAGAGTGACGAACACGGCCTCCTCACTACGGCACCCTCGATCTTTACGCCCCTAAACCCTAAACCCTAAACCCTAAACCCTAAACCCGAAACCCGAAAAACCTAAACCCTAAACCCTACTAAACCCTATATATATATATATATAAGCCCCAAGTGGAGCAAAAAACTCCATGGCGCGCACACCGGGGCACCTCGGCCTCCTCCTCAGACTCCGAAGCGTCCGCTGCCTCGAGCTCTTCCGCAAGGGCCTTGGGCCGCCAGAGAGAAGCAGCTCAGAGCTGACCAGGGTTTGGGGTTTAGGGTTTAGGGTTTAGGGTTTGGGGTTTAGGGTTTAGGGTTTAGGGTTTAGGGTTTAGGGTTTAGGGTTTAGGGCTTGGGGTTTGGGGTTTGGGGTTTAGGGTTTGGGGTTTGGGTTTGGGGTTTGGGGTTTAGGGTTTAGGGTTTAGGGTTTAGGGTTTAGGGTTTAGGGTTTGGGGTTTGGGGTTTGGGGTTTGGGGTTTGGGGTTTGGGGTTTGGGGTTTGGGGTTTGGGGTTTGGGGGGGTTTGGGGTTTGGGGTTGGGGGTTGGGGTATATATGGGGTATGCATCAAGGGAGCGCAGATCGCTCTCTGATGCAGGCCATTCATCAACGAACCCGACGCTTTTTTCAGGAGCATCTCCCAAACAGCAACGAAAAGTATGCCACGGAACTCCCGATTCATCTCGTTCGCGGGCGGGCTTCCGACAGGATTTTCGTGGAACAGTCCACCAAGATGACTGGCAAAACAGTCTTAAGAAATACATGGTGAATCAAATTCCATCTGTGTTAGCCCTAGTTGGGTTAAGACTGCAATGGTTAAACGAAGTTATGAAGCAGCAGTAGCATCTCAAATGGGAGTCGAAAATGGTGATGGACAGGCAACATCTCTTGCACGTTGTTCGCAACTCCGGTCAAAGGATGCGGACAAACAGGACAAAGCTGATATTATTTTCCTCTGGATGGAGTGAGTATGATGATCAGCTTGCACATTAGCATCCGCATCTCAGACTTAACGGCGGTGGACCGGAGTGTTCTCGCCCGCCGAGGACGGGCGCCCTTGAGAATGCAACTGTATCCCAAGCAAAGTGTGCTGTGGGTCGCGCAGCGCGTTCTTGAGCTCCACCTTGAGTCTCCTCCTTCTAGCAGTCTAGGGTGTTTAGGTTTTAGGGTTTAGGGTTTAGGGTTTAGGGTTTAGGGTTTAGGGTTTAGGGTTTAGGGTTTAGGGTTTAGGGTTATAGGTTCGGGGTTGAAGACACGAAGCGCGCGAATCAACAGCACGAATCCCAAATGCGCCTCCTCCGCGTCATTCGTAGCTTCTTCCTCCTCTTCCTGCCGACCAGCGCAGCACTCCGTGCAACAGTTTCGTGGTTCGCATCTACCGGACCAATCAGGGGCCGTGACTCGGGGGTTTACCAAAATAGGGGACCCCGAAAATAGACCCCCCAAAATAGTAGGAATTCACTTATAATAAGGACCCCAATAAGCTACCCCGAGTTTCGGCAACCCCCTTTTTGAGAACTGCCCATCATTGTCAAACCCTCCCAACCCTAAACCCTAAACCCTAAACCCCTAAACCCTAAACCCCCTAAACCCTAAACCCTAAACCCTAAACCCTAAACCCTCTAAACCCTAAACCCTAAACCCTAAACGATTCGTGCAGACGAAGTGGCGCGAGATGCTGCTTGCCGGCCGGTAAGGAGGTCGTGGATGATGGCCATGCGGCGCCTTACTAAGGTTTAGGGTTTAGGGTTTAGGGTTTAGAGTTTAGGGTTTAGGGTTTAGGGTTTAGGGTTTAGGGTTTAGGGTTTGGGGTTTAGGGTTTAGGGTTTAGGGTTTAGGGTTTAGGGTTTAGGGTTTAGGGTTTAGGGTTTAGGGTTTAGGGTTTAGGGTTTAGGGTTTAGGGATGCGCAGAATGATTGGTGATGGCTTAGGGTTTTGGGGTGTGTGGGCATTTGCCAAAGCAGGGTACCCCTAAGGTACCGCCAAAGTCCATCATCCTTGTGACAGGAAGTCTCACAAAGTGTACGCGCATTTTCTAACACCCCATTTAGAGCTTGGAGATGTCTAGAGGCAAAAGAGGGGCGTGTTAACAGGAGAAGCCTACATGAACCATCCCGCACTCTGCCCTGAGACGCCAACAGCTGTTGGCGCCGTTCCTCCTCTTCTGGCGATTCTCCTGCACAGAAGTAAAGTTTCATTCTGCACTGGCTTTCAGTCGGAAGATGTCACGAAAACTCATGAAAACATCCAGCTGCACCGTTGCCTCCATAAGATTCGCTCATTTCCTGGGCCACAGCTCTGCAAAACACGTGGCAAAACGTGTCTGAAACCACGTTAAACCCTTAACCCTGAACCCGGAACCCTAAGCCCTAATCCCTGAACCCGGAACCCTAAACCCTAAACCCTGAACCCTGAACCATGACATCTACCCCATGCACATCCAGGAGTCACTTCTGGGAGCGAAGACCAATCGAGGATAGACCTCGTGCCAGACCTCCCCAGAGATTCGAGGATGACTCCCAAAACCCTAAACCCTAAACCCTAAACCCTGAACCCTGAACCCTGAAACCTAAACCCTGAAACCTAAAACCTAAACCCTAAACCCGAAACCTTAAACCCGAAACCCTAAACCGTGTGCAAGACTGCACAAGAGAGCAGTGCAGCCTCGTCAGGGCTTTTGGATACGACGTCCTGGGTGTTGGCTTTGCACAAGCCCCAACTGCCTGTCAGGAACTTTGCAGGGTTTAGGGTTTAGGGCTTAGGGTTTAGGGCTTAATGCTTAGGGCTTAGGGTTTAGGGCTTAGGGCTTAGGGCTTAGGGCTTAGGGCTTAGGGCTTAGGGCTTACGGCTTAAGGCTTAGGGCTTAGGGCTCAGGGCTTAGGGCTTAGGGCTTAGGGTTTAAGGCTTAGAGCCTCTAGGGCTTAGGAATTAGGGAATTCGCATCGTGTTGACCCGAGTCAGCCCAGACTTGCTTGGCCACGAAGATTGCATGCAGCTATGGAAAAAACCAGCCTGGCCTCGAGCGATCTCGCCCATTAGCTGACAACGGCTCCTAGATCACCAATGACAGCATCACAGGCTCAGCCCTCTTGCAAAAGCGTTCTCTCCACCCAGCACCGCTCCAGCCAGCGTAGCCCCAGTAGACGAAAACCCGCACAGACCTAACGCAAGAAGCGACTGGAGGCCGAAGCCCACGCGAAAGCATAACGTGAAATCACAACTCTCGGACTGGGCAGAGCACGAATCGTGTGCAGCATTCGAGTCTGGGCTTGCGTCAGCCTCTGGCATCTGCAGACATCGCGCAGGTCGCCGGTCCCAAACGGGTCACCTGCTGAACTCCCTGGCCTCGAGCTCAATGCGCCGACGTTTTGTGTCTCCGGAGGGTACCTTTACAACAGCATTCCACCATTCACTACAAGGGAAGCGCCCCTTGGCTTGACACAGCCGGCTGGCAGCCTGGCCTCCTCTTTTCTGTCCTCCGCGTCGAGGGTCGAAATCGAGGATATTCCAGCTCCAGCCACATCAATGGCCTGCTTCTATGCAGAATCCACGAGTGGGGCGAAGAGGCTACGGGCAGGCCCCTCCGCAAAGCTGAGCCAGGAGCAGACAGACGTAGGGCCGCTGCGGCACCTTCTGCAGCCGCGCCGGTCCCAGACGATGCAAGCTCCTGCCACATCTCCCTTTCAGGGGGAGCGCAGCTCTCGGGCGGTTGACCTCGCAGCAACTCCTCGGCCACCGACAGCCCAGCAAGTAGGCAGGCGTCATCCTGGCAACGACTCAGATCCATTTCATATTAGCTCCCAACCCCAAGTTTCATGAACTCCCTCATGAGTCACATAACGCCCTTCCTGCACGATGCTATAGCCGGACGAAGAGGCGACAACGCAGCAAGCCACCTGCGAGCATCGCCGGTGCACACGTGGGCAACTCTGTTTCAGACTGATGCGGATTGTATCGTATTGTGTTGTGGTACTGTTGTAGCGCTCAGATCTCCGATCAAAGGTTGCTTTGAGGCCTTCTCCTCCTCGCATGGTCCGCCGATGAAATGAGTGACCTCGCTGCATAGCCCCAAAGTCAGCTGCACCAGCTGTAAAGTGTCTCTAAGGCCGTTCAGAACTGTGAGTTTACGACAGCAAGGGACCCCCAATATAGAACCCCAAGTAGTAGGATTCCCTTACAAAAAGGACCCCAATAAGGTACCCCCTACTTTCGGAGACCCCTGTAAAGAACTGCAGACACGGCAAAGAGACCGGCCTGTGCTCGAAGTTCTGTCTGGCCCCGATCGCTGAGCACCCTGGGGCGGAATCTAGGGTTTAGGGTTTAGGGTTTAGGGTTTAGGGTTTAGGGTTTAGGGTTTAGGGTTTAGGGTTTTGCAGATCAAGGCCGCATGCGCCCGGAATGCAGAGATGCCTGAATACCGCAGCCTGGAACGAAGCCCGCTGCCTCGCACGCAGCCTTTGTGCTGTACAAGCGGATGACTGCATATGACTGCCGTAACCCTGTGCTCAGCACCAGATTTCCTGCTGGGGGTGCTCATGTGCCGGGCTTGCCACACTGTTCGCCCAGAGCTGGCTAGATCGAAGGGGCGCGCCCTTGGCGCAAGCACGAAACCGCTGCTTCCCATCATCTCTAAAAGAAGTGGCCCACAGCTGCGCTTGCGCCCTTGGGGCCGTGGCAGATTCACTGCAACGATGCCATCCTCACCTCACCAGCTTTTGCCCCGGGCAAAACCACATGAGCCTGCAGACAGCGGAGGCAGCGGATCTCGGATATCTCGGTCCACGGCCGCAGTCCACGGGATCTGGTCGTAGCCGGATGGAAGCAGGCGTTCGCACCTGCTTTCGTCGCAAGCACTGCACTGAGATCTCAAACAGCAACAAGGGGGCAGCGTGATCTCATCGCGTCCCAGACATGAAGACATCCTCCAGCACTCTGAGTCCATGGTTTCTTGGGGCTCGGACAGCTCGCATGAGCTCGCGCCGAGCCTTCGAAGCGTCTTGTGTTCAAAAAAGGAGGGAGAAGTGCTAGAGAGGTATAGAGAGGTGCTTCTGCGGCGGCACGGTGTGCACAGGGGCATGCGTGCATGCATGCGTGCGAGCGAGCATGTGCGTGCGAGCATGTGCTCGTATGCGTACAGAAGCGTGCATGCGCATGCGTGCATGCGGGCGATTGCGGGCGGGCGGACGCGTGCATGGGTGCGCGCGCCTGCGTGCCTGCGTGCCTGCGTCCTTGCGTGCCTGCGTGCGTGCATGCATGCATGCGTCCTTGCGTGCGTGCGTGTGTTCTCTGTCCGTCTGTCTGTCTCTGTCTGTCTCTGTCTGTCTCTGTCTGTCTCTGTCTGTCTGTCTGTGTCTGTCTGTCTGTCTGTCTGTCTCTTTGTCTGCCTGTCTGTCTATCTGTCTGTCTGCGTGTGTGCATGTGTGCCACCTCTTGCATTCAGTCTTGCCCCTCCCCTTCCCCCGAGCGCCTCGGGCGAGTCTTGGTCTGTGAGGTTTTTCAACGGGCCTTGCCTTGGCATGCAGAGACTCATGCGCATCCACACGCCCTGCGGGGCATCCCAAAGGGCGCTTGCGGAAGAACCTGGTATCGTCGCCCCCGCAAGTGAAAGGTCCTGCTCAAAGGACCCAAGCTCCACACATCTCGCCACGGATACGCTACCATTGAGGCAGGTACTATCCCCGACAACGAGGATTGTAGTGATTTTGGGGTGCAATACCCACTTGCATCTGGCATGTCAGGTGAAAGGTGGCGAAGGTATGTGCACTGAGGCAGCATGCAAAGTGAAAGCAAACGGCCCCGATTTTTTGCCTCCCGACAAATCTGCAAAGACACCTCCCGAGATTGAGGGGCGTCTCTCTCTCCTAGAAATGCCTGGCCAGCGTTTTGCTGTAGCCAAGACTCTGGACTATGCACAAGCAAGGTCGACCTTGCTGGGAGCAAGCTCGACCTTGGCCTCTATCTACCTCATCTTCTTCTGCAGGGCGTTCAGCATGGCATCGACTTGCGGTGCTCCACGCTTCCGGCTCCAGTGCTTCCGCAAAGCAACGAAAAGCTGCAGCAGGAACGTGTTGATGCGTGAGCTGAGTGGAACGAAGGGATCTGGGAACTTGTATGCAGCCACGGCCACAAGACCGTCCAAGAACTCTGAGAAAGACATCTCGTCGTCGTCATCCAGGCCAGCCCCATCTTCATTCTCCCCGCCATTGTCCTCATCGTCAGCTGTTGCATCTTGCTGGATACCTTGGAAGATCTGCTGCACAGCGACCTCGGTCAGCGCCTCGTCCAAGAATCCGGTGTCATCCAGCAACATCTGGAACTCGGTGATGTTCATGGTGCTGGCCCGCTGCATGGCGTCGGTCGTCGACATGTCCTATGCTCCCCCTTAGCACCTTAATAAAAAACCATATCTTTAATCTCCTCTTGGGTTTTATATAGACAAAAATGGAAAACAACTCTCAAGGGGGATATAGTATCCAGGGTAGCATAGAGCTGGAAGACATCCTTCAGCTCCCGCGAGTGCTGGTCGAGGACGTGGCGCACGTCGGGGCTGTAGGCCATCTTCTGGAACATGCTCTCCGCGTCGTTGCAGGCGTTGGGCCGCAGGTGGAGGTCGATGAGCAGCAGCATCTGCTCGGCCAAGTTGTCAGGGGAGCTGCAGGCGCCCAGGAACTTCTTGTGGGCGCACTGGACCAGCACCTCCACAAACTCGTGCGAAGCCAGTAGCCGGTCCTCCCCGGTCTTGCTCTTGTCCTCCAAGTGGTCGTTAAAGATCACCTCAAGGGAGGGGAAGGGGAAGGGGGGAGCTGAGGGGGGGGAAGGGGGGGGTTCCCCTACATTCAGGAACTTCTTGATTCTTTCATTCTTGGCAGTTAGGGGGGGAGGGGCAGAGAGGACTCTACAGGCCCACCCCCCCCTTTACCTCGAGGTGGTGGGGCGCGAGCTCCTTGGACCGGAGCTTGCACTCCTGGAAGAGCTTGAGCAGCCCCTCCAAGGCCACGCCGTGGGCCCCCGAGGGGCTCGAGCTGCTGTAGTGCTTGTAGATGTCCCGGAGGAGCCGGAAGTGCCGCCGCAGCTGCTCTTCGAGCTTGGCGAGCACAGCCGGCTCGAGCTTCTCCGTCTCCTTCCCGGCCTCCTTCCCGAGCGTCTGCGAGAGCCGGTCGGCGTTCACGGAGGTGTAGAGGTGGAACTCCCTGAGCTCTTTGGCATCCAGCATGGTCTTGGGCTGGCCGCGGGCCCGGTGCGACAAGGTCTCACCTAAGAAGGCGTGCACGCGCTCCAGGATGCCCGACATGGTCTTGGAGGCTTCCTGCACAGCCTGCGCCGCGAGCCGAAACTCGTTCCAGCAGGAGTCAAGCTCCAAGCAGAACTTCATGGTCTCGGAGGGGTTGTCGGCAGCCAGGGCCCCAAAGCCTTCCCCACACACCTGCTCCAGCAACTGCAGGTGCATCGCCAGGAGGGAGTCCTGCACCATGATTGGGGGTACTATGAAGAACGATCATGTTTCTTCCTTATTGGGTTTAAGTATTACTATTAAGAATGAGTCATGTTTCTTCCTTATTGGCTTTAAGTAGTCATAAAAAAAGGTGCCCAAAACTCTTTTCAAGAATGGCCCCCAGAGTCGGGCTGTGCTGCGAGGTTGGGGCGGACCAGCAGCAGGGCGGCCAAGAAGCAGGCGAGCATGTCCGACTGTCCCTCTACCACCGCATTCACCGTCCTTGGGATGGCCCTGGCAACCCTCTGAAAACAGAGCCCGAAGCATATTTCCCTCTCAAGAGCCAAAATAAGGGCAAATACTGAAAAACCCTCTGAAACAGAGTCCGAAACATATTTCCTCTTTAGCCCAAAGAAGGGCAAATACTGAACAAATTGGCCTAAACATGTTGCCTCCTAAACCCCAAATGAGGGAAAACACTGAAAATCAGGCCTTTTTTACGATCCTCTTCAAAAACCCCCAAACAAGAAAATTCTGCAAAATCGTCCTTGAAGATGACCCTCTTAAACCCATTTAAGGGAAACTAACTCCAACAAAAAGACTCCCAAGGGCCTGCCTGGCGACAAGACCTCGGTGCCATCCCCGCACCGCGCGGCCGCGGCGATGACCTGGTCCAGGCGCTCCTCCCGACTCTCCGAGAAGAGAACCGGGCATGCCTCGGCAACTCGAACTCAGGGTTGAAGGGTTTGGGGTTTAGGTTTTTTAGGGTCTAGGGGTTTAGGGTTTAGGGTTTGGGGTTTAGGGTTTGGGGTTTGGGGTTTAGGGTTTAGGGTTTGGGGTTTCGGGGTTTAGGGTTTAGGGGTGCTCCGAGAGCCTCTGAAACCCTCACGTGCTCTCACTGAGCTCCGCTGCCTCTGAACGTGGACAGACCATTTTTTTTACGAATGACTGACGTGGGCAGGCCCCGCCGGCGAGGGCCCTCTATGGCCCCATGTACCTAAGTAGACCCCTAAGTAACCCCCCAAATAACCCCCCTAAGGTCCCTTAGAAGGGTCCCTCAAACGTCGCCTTGAGCCCAGGCGCCTCTGGCGCAATGACGGTGAGAAGCTTGGATAAGGCCACGCCGTCCTGCGTCTTCGGCACTTCGAGAACACGCCCAAAAGAAAAAGCAAAGCGCAACGTGCGCAAACCCCAAACCCCGAAGCCCTAAACTCCAAACCCTAAACCCTTCAACCCTAAAAACCCTAAACCCTGAACCCTGAACCCGAAACCCCACCCACCCCAACCACAGGGCGGGCCGGAGGGTGCCATACCCTATACTGAACCTGGAACCCTAGCAAGAATCATAATTTCAGCTGTCTCTTATAGGAATTACAGTACCCAAGACTAAAAATTATTCCCAAGTATCCCTAAGTACCATGGGACAACTAAACCCTAAACCCTAAACCCTAAACCCAGTACGCCACTGGCCTGCAAATCCGATCCGAAGTTCTCCACGGGCCTCGGCAGGTGAGCTGCGGCGGAATGGATCTTAGGGTTCAGAGTTTAGGGTTTAGGGTTTAGGGTTTAGGGTTTAGGGCTTAGGGTTCAGGGTTCAGGGTTTAGGGTTTAGGGCTTAGGGCTTAGGGATTTAGGGTTTAGGGTTTAGGGTTTAGGGGTTAGGGTTTAGGGTTTAGGGTTTAGGGTTTGGGGTCACGCAAGCCCGCCTGTGCTGAGGGTTGTCCATACTCAGCTGCGCATTGATCCACCTGGAAGAGGCGTTTAGCAGGCCAGGGCAACTTGTGGGAAAGGAGGCGAGGCGCTCTGAGTCTCTAAGTTATGGACCCCTTTGCTACCTAAACCCTAAACCCTAAAGTTTAGGGTTTAGGGTTTAGGGCATAGGATTTAGGGTTTAGGGTTTAGGGTTTAGGGTTTAGGGTTTAGGGTTTAGGGGCAGGGTTTCGGAGTAGTATGGGCGCCCTTCTTCCCTTTTGGGAAGTCACACCGGGACGAGGCTTGGGTCCCCGCCTCAAGAGGATCTGCTCCACGGAGATTGTGGCCAGGGCCTGAAAGGTGGTAGGGAATTCTACCATGTACATGTCTATCTAGCCATCTAATGCTAGCGTATGTCTATATGTCTCTCTATATACATATGTACAGCTTTTGAATATTGAAAAAATTTTATATATACATACAGAGAGGAGAAAAACATACAGATATATCTTCTTTTGTGTATAGCACTCTGAGCCTGGGTCTCCTCACCGCCATGGAGCAGGGGCGTCGGATCCTCGTCGCACCCCCAAGGCCGCACAAGCAACTCATCTCTCTCATCAGAAGCTAGTTTAGGGTTTAGGGTTTAGGGTTTAGGGTTTAGGGTTTAGGGTTTAGGGTTTAGGGTTTAGGGTGTCGGGGTATCGCACTACTCCATTGTTCTGCTGCTACAATAGTATGCTAGTATGCATCGTACTACTAGAATGCTCTGCTGCTACAACATTCTACGCGGCTGATACTCGGAGAATTTTGAGAGCGTGCCCATTGAGAATAATATCAGTGCAGCTCTCGGAAAGTTCCCTAAACCCTAAACCCTAAACCCTAAACCCTAAACCCTAAACCCTAAACCCTAAACCCTAAACCCTAAACCCTAAACCCTAAACCCTAAACGAAACTCCTCCATGGGCTCATAGCCAGCACGCCCTGCAGACGCCTGCATGGTAACTGATTAAATGTTGGGATGTTCCCCCTTATATAAACAGGTCCTTCATAGGGATCATATTTGGGGTGGGGGTTTACTATAATCTAGCGGTCCTTAATAGGGATTGTATTGGGGTGGGTACTCTAATCGCTATTAAGGACTGCTCGTATGGCCAGGCCGCGAAGAACCGACAACCCACAGTGGTCCGCTTTGCTGCTCCATGTCTGATACGAACTGGATCTTTCTGGTGCCCTTAGGAGCTCAACAGACATCGACCCTAAGAACCCAACCCAAAAACCACGACCACTTTGTCACCTAATCCAAGAACGTTTCGAAGCAGTGGCCCAAAAAGAGACAGCGGTGGGTTCTTACGGTGCTTCCTTAGGGGTTGTAGGCTTCCTCCGCCGGCCTCCATGTAGTCCAAGACCTTGCAGAGCTTCTCGTACAGTGCCTGGCACCAGAGAAGGGTTTCGGGTTTTCGGGGGGGGTTAAGGCTTTGCAAAACGTCTCCAGCCTCAGCGGCACTACCAGAGGCACGCGCATCCTGGCCCGCGAGCTCTTCAAAAACCACGAACCCCTAAACTTGGGATGTTCCCCCCCCATACTAACAGGGACCCTAGTACCCCCTAAAGAAAACTCCCTATTAAGAACTGTTCGTATAAGAAGGGAGCCTCCCAACCCTAAACCCTAAACCCTAAACCCTGAACCCTAAACCTTAACCCTACACCCTAAACCCTAAACCCTAAAGCAACGCACCGCTTCACGTCGGAGCCTGGAGCATCGGGCAATCCACGAAGATCGCAGACAAGAAGGTCTGGAGCTTGTCCGAGGAGCCTGCATGGCACGAGTAACTTTAGGGTTTAGGGTTTAGGGATTAGGGTTTAGGGTTTAGGGATTTGGGTTTAGGGATTAGGGATTCGGGGGACCCTTGGGGATATAGACCCTCTGAAGAAGGTCCCTGTTTAAGAGGGCCAGAAGAGGGTTAAGAAGGGTTCCCTGTTAAGGCTCCCCCGTATCCTACCTAGGAGAGTGGCACAAATCACTGGACGCTTGGACTTAGACAAACCGCGCTAACCGGACACGATTCCGCAAATGCCCTGCAAATGCTGGAGTTTAAACTCTAAGCCCTGAACCCTAAGCCCTAAACCCTAAACCCCCTGAACGTCGGCGGTCCTTGCATGATCTCGTGGGGAACCAGCAAGCACTTCGCCCTGCGGGTGCCAGCAAGCGTTTGGCTTTGAGGGGGTGGGAGGGGCCTGGGAGGGGGGAGGGGCGGGGTAGGGGTCCCAACTAAGTTACACCTACACCCTAAACCCTAAACCCCAAACCCCAAACCCTGAACCCTCAAAGGGCTCTGAGGATCCAATTCAATTCGGCCCGAGGAGCCTTTCTGTTGGCGCCAGCTCCAACAAGCAGTGGCAGAGCTGGATGGTTCGCAGTTCTTTGTCGGTCTCGCACAAGGCAATCAAGTCCTGCGCGCGCGCGGAACTGCTCGCCTAGAAACTGCTCTTGCAATGAGTTTTTGTTGGGTTCTCAAGTCACTCTGCTCCAACCTTTTCCGAGAACTTCTTCTGGTCGCGCTCTGCCTGGCACTCACAAGATCGTGACCACGCCCAGAGACCCACGCTTGCAATAACCCTAAACCCTAAACCCTCCTAAACCCTAAACCCTAAACCCTAAGCATTGGGCGCCTGGCCTTGATCATCGCATACAGCGCTGTAAGAGCAACGCCGTCCGACAAGTCGTACTCAAGATTATCGATCTCCTGCTCGTTTAGGGTTTAGGGTTTAGGGTTTAGGGTTTAGGGCTTAGGGCTTAGGGCTTAGGGCTTAGGGCTTAGGGCTTAGGGCTTAGGGTTTAGGGTTTCGTTTTGAAGCATGCATTGGGATTGGGCAGCGAAGGCCATGTCGGGATCATTGAAACCTTGACGGCGCATATGGCTACCCTGTGATTACAAAGAGGCTTGCGACAAGGGATCATGAGCTGGATGTTGTGCCTTGCTGGCATGAGCACAAAAGAGAAAGTCCTCCTGCTGCGCGATCATGATGACTGCGTCTTGGTTCTCGACCTTGGTGGGGCTGGTGGAGAACTGGGTCATGCTACATCGCTGACATCCCTGACCTTCCCGTCGATGCTTTAAAGCTTGGATGGGTGCATTCACGAGGTCTTCGGACCATTCCTCGCACTGTCGTCGCGCCTCGCAAGAAATCTTCGTCTGCCGCAATGGCAGACTGGAGAATGCTAAGAAAAGCGCCTGCCTTTTGGAGACTCACGTTGATCCACCTATCCGACAAGGGGCAATGTGTGGAATTCCCTGGCTGATGTCGGCCTCGTGCCTGATGAGGATCGCTTCGGTGTCTGGGACCGTCGAGTCGTCGTCCTCGAGCAGAGGCCTGATGTCCTTTCCAGCCAGGCGATGGCGAACCTGCTTGCTGCAGACGGGCTACTTGGAGGTTCATGGTACTTACCAACCAAATAGTAACTGCACTGAAAGCCCAACTCCAACCATATTCGGGTAATTCAGGGGCTTCTAAGTGGGTTATACGTGCAGTTACGACTTGGTTAGTACCATCAACCTCCAACACATGCTTCGACGGCCATGCGGAGGTTCATCGGTGAGAAGAGGTAAAATGTGGTCCTTTCCCAAAAATAGGGTCACCCTTTTCCCCAATATACGAATACTCCTTACTATAGGACCCCACCACAAAGCCCCCATGTCCCGATAGTTTAGGGAGGCATCTCTCCGTCGGCACCTCCAGATTTTTGAGGCCCGCTTGTCGCACCACCAAGCCGAAGAAGACCTCCAAGGTCTGGGCCAGGACCTTGAGCAGCCTGAAAACTGAGCGACGCTCCGGCAACAACGAGAAGCACAACTCCCAAACTCTGACCGATGTAAGATTCCCATCGGAACAACTCTAACCTCATTAAGATTCCTAACGGAACTCGTACGTGGCGACTTAAAGTTTTAAAAGTGCGGCAAAACGTGGCCGGGGGGCAGCTCCGGCTGCGTGTCCGACCAGACCTGCTTGAGTCGGGAGAGTTCCTGCTGCTCCACCATGCACTTCTCCTTCAGCTCAGCGCCGGCCGCAAGGCTCTCCTCAAGCAGCCGCTGCTGCTCTTGGTTTTCGACCTCGACCTCGGTGATCTTGTTCGCCAGCTGCGACGCCTCCTTGTCCACTTCCGCGCACTTCGCGCGCGCCCGCACCAGGCGCTGCTGCGAGACGTAGAGCCGCCAGCTTAGGAAAGGCGTGACCAAGTCATCCGGCACCGCCAGCACGGAGGTGGACATCTTCTCCATGCGGGCCTTCCGCTCGCGATACGTGAAGACCCAGAAGTTGAAGAGCCACTGCTGGAGGATGAGCCGTTCCTGACCCTGCAATCGCACAATGAAGTCAAGGACACTCTTCCGCCTTGCCAGGTGGAGGTCCACCACCTCTACTCCCCTTAGAACCTCCATAAAAACAACATCTTATATCTCCTCTTGGGTTTTCTAGAACCATAAATAAGAAAAAATGATTCCCAGGTGCAGGTCCAGCACCTCCTGCATCTCGGCAACATGCTCCTCCATGCGCTCCAAGGTCACCTGCTGCCTGCGCACGACGGCGAACCAGGGCTGGCGCTCACCGAGGTCATGGCCCTCCCGGCCCTTGTAGCTTCCTGGGATGGCCCACTTTTAAAGCCCTCTGAAAAAAATTATATTCCTGGAATGTGACCCTTCTTTTAGGGTTTTAGGGTTTAGGGTTTTAGGGTTTAGGCTTTAAGGGTTAAGGGTTTAGGGTTTAGGGTTTAGGGTTTGGGATTTAGGGTTTAGGGTTTAGGGTTTAGGGTTTAGGGTTTAGGGTTTAGGGTTTAGGGTTTAGGGTTTAGGGTTTAGGGTTTAGGGTCTTAAACCCAATAAGTAAAAAGATATGACCCAAGGGCCCACCGAGCTTCCGAGCACCTCGGCCAGCTGGGCCCTCTCCGCCGGGCTCGTGGGCTCGTCGCTGTAGATGGACGCCTCGATCTGCCGCAAAATGCTGGTGGCCACCTTCAGGGTTTAGGGTTTAGGGTTTAGGGTTTAGGGTTTAGGGTTTAGGGTCGGTTTAGGGTTTAGGGTCTAGGGTTTAGGGTTTAGGGTTTAGGGTTTAAGGTTTAGGGTTTAGGGTTTAGGGTTTAGGGTAATGCTGGTGGCCACCTTCCGGATCGGGCCCGGCAGCGTGTCCACCACGTCCTGATATTTTATTTGGGCCAGCGCGGGCCACGCAGCACAACTACAGCTGCAGCGGCTACTAAAAGCCCATACTGTCCCATGCTGTCCGATACTGCCCCATATTGCCCAATACGACGTAGGGTAGATACTTCTTGTATCCCCAAAAGGACACCAGGTATATACACTCACCAATATTCAAAAAGGAACCTTATATACACTCACCAAAAACAGAAATATAAACCCTGCTTCATACTGCCCCACACCGCCCCATGGACACCAGCTACGGCCAATGCCGCCGAAGCAGCCCGCAGCAGGTCTGCAGCAACGGCTGTGACCACGCTGTTGGGCAAGGTGAGCCGCGCAGAGAGGCGCTCTATCTTGCGGAAGCGAGCCTGACAGTGCCAAACTAGGGTGCTTTTTGGGGTCACTTTTTTCAAGGGTGCCGTATTCTACAAATAGGAGGGCCCAAAAAGGTACGATAATTTATGGAACTACCATGAACTACCCCATTTATAGGGTTCGTAAGGGAGGGGGGTTCAAGGGGGGATATGACTCCCTAGGGCTCCCAAAGCTTCCCTAAGGTTGCCCAGGTACCTACCCCCATGAACCCGCCCTTAAAAACCCCAAACCCCAAACCCTAAACCCTAAACCTAAACCCGAAACCCTAAACCCCAACCCTAAACCCTAAACCCTAAACCCTAAACCCTAAACCCTAAACCCTAAACCCTAAACCCTAAACCCTAAACCCTAAACCCTAAACCCTAAACCCTAAACCCTAAACCCTAAACCATACCTTACGAGCCCTGTAACCATTGCTCTCCGGGAGCCGATCCCCGGCCTCACACGCCAGCAGCTTGGACTCGAAGCCCTGCTGCTCCTGCCCGTCGAAGCGAGTCGAAGCTCTTGCGCGACAGCCCTAAACCCTAAACCCTAAACCCTAAACCCTAAACCCTAAACCCTAAACCCTCAACCCTAAACCCTAAACCCTAAACCCTAAACCCTAAACCCAAACCCTTTACTCAACTCAGAACAGAGCCTCCGGGAGGCCCGAGTGCGTCTTGTGCCAGTCCTGTACAGTGACGTGGGTTGCACACACATCGAAGCCTACCACCCTAAACCCTAAACCCTAAACCCTAAACCCATTGAAGCCCTGTAACGCACCCCCCACCTCCAAAGCCAGGAGCGAGACCGGATCGCCCAAGGCAGCCCCCAGGGCTGGAGGCAAGGCCTGCAAAAAATTCCGGGGTCTCGAGCTTCGAGAGCTTCGTGGAGAGAAAAAGGGAAATGATAAAACAAAATTAGAAAAAAGAAGAATAAAACAAAAAAAAAAAGGAAAACCGGGACCCTGGCCGGATACCCGGATTCTAGGACTCCGGAGTCAGCATCCGCCGGGGCCTCGTTCTGCCGGCAGTTTTTACCGGCAGTCGACCCGTTACCCAATGAGGGTTCCTTGAGGCACCCGCATCCCGCAGCCTCTCAGACCTGCAAAGTCACAAAGAAAGTTCTTTAAACTGCAATCAGATTTTTATTTAAGATAATGTAATTATAAATAAAAAATATATGTATATATGAACATTTAAAAAGGCTCTGGGCCGAGAGCCGCGGTGGGGGTCTGCGCCTCGTCTCGCGCCCGGTCTCACGAGGCTCGCGAGGCTCGCGAGGCTCGCGAGGCTCACGCACGCCGCGGCGAGCCTGGTCCGGCTCGTGTCACTCCTAGATTGCTATGATTTTCGTTACATGATGAATATTCCTACTCCTTTGACTGTTACTAGGACTATGAAATACTACGTATTAGTAGTCGTCGTCGTCGCCGTTAGCAAGCTGCTGCAAGTTTCAAAGTGAGCAGCGTGGGCCTCTCTAGCCGAGAGTGGCGCATCCAACGAAGGCAGCTTGGGTCGCTGCCGCACCCTGAAATGGTCAGCGGAACAAGAAGTGGGCTTAGGGTTCAGGGTTTAGGGTTTAGGGTTTAGGGTTGAAGGTTTAGGGCTTAGGGTTACCTGCAGTGCCGCGCAGCACCTCGCGGTAGTTGAGAAGGCTTGCAGCGGCATGGCACAGAGTCCATGGCACTGGCCACTTTGGGACAGCACGTCAGTTGATGCGAAGTAGGGTTTACATTCCTTGTATCCCAGGACACCAATTGTGTACGCTCACCAATATTAAAAAGGAACCCCAAAGACACTCACCAATAACAGTAATACATAAACCCTGTTTCCAATGTCTAGGATCCCACATGTAGGCTATCTGACTACTGTATAGTAAGGGGGGTAGACAGAACCCTCACCCCATACGGCCATCTGTCTCTAGACGCCGTAGCTGCCATCATAGCTCACTTTCAGCAGCTGCAGCTATGAAGCGAAAACCGCTCTAGGCCAGCTCTTGAATGTTCAAGTGCCGCGAGACCTAAACAGAAGGGCAAAGCAAAGTCCACAAGCAGTGTGCTGGACCCTAACCCCTAAACCCCTAAACCCCTAAACCCCTAAACCCCTAAACCCCTAAACCCCTAAACGCCTAAACGCCTAAACCCCTAAACCCCTAAACCCCTAACCCCCTAACCCCCTAAACCCTAAACCCTAAACCCTAAACCCTGAACCCTAAACCCTAAACCCTAAACCCTAAACCCAGATCTGGAAGGTCCTCGCGTCGGCTTCCAGGTGCTGCATAAACATGCTGAGCTCCTGAAAGCCCAGTCTCTGGGAGTCTAGAGCAGCCAACTACACGATACAGCTACTTGAAGATACATACACTTCTCCATCACCAAGTTGCAAAGGGTTTAGGGTTTAGGGATTAGGGTTTAGGGTTTTAGGGTTTTAGGGTTTTTGGGTTTTTGGGGTTAAGGGTTTAAGGGTTTAAGGGTTTAAGGGTTTACTAAGGTACAAAGATGCCACCCTGAAGCCGAGATCCGGCGGCTGCTTGGGCCTTTGAGACCCTTGCAACACCCGCCTCGAAGCGCCGCGACAAAAGCCTCTGAAGCCCTGCACAGGGACTCCAATACCCCTTGACGAAGGAATATTCCTTAAAGTATAAGAGGGTTCCTTATATGGCTTAAGGAATCTTCCTTGATTTTAGGGGTATTGGAGTCTCTGGGTAGAAACCCTAAACCCTAAACCCTATAGGGGGACGAACAGCCTCCGAAACCTTGCACTGTAAGGTCTCTGCCTCACCCTAACCTTAAACCCACCCCAAACCCTAGAAGCCCTCGATCTCCTCCTCATCACTGACCTTCAACATGACGACGCCACGCTGTCGATCCTCCACCACCTTAGCAGCTCCCTGAAATCACGACCCCCCTGATCGATCCTTTGCTATAGCCACTCGGCACGAAGAAACATCCAAATCAAAACAAAAAGAAACCGTCAGACATGAATCCGGTCATCAAGTAGTGCAAACTGCAGGGGAATCGAGCTTATCTCGGTAGAATGACATTGGCTAAACCGTGATGAAATGCAGTTTGAAAGCAGAAGCCATGATGCGCAGGCTCTCTCAAGACTCTTTTCACATTGGGCGAGGATGGTATGCGCCGGCCATGCATGACTGGCGAGCACATACCTGGGAAATACTAAATACCACGAGTGCGCGTAGACCCCACCCCAACCAACCTGCTAGTTGCAGTCCTCCTTCCAATTCTGTCTCACTTTTTCTCCATGTGGAACTTCTGAATGCTGTTTGCTGCATGCACATGCGACCCTCATTCCTTTCATTGCCGTGCTGTCCAGTACTTATGGCGCTCTTTCTTGCTTGCTCTCAGCCTCCCTTTCTCTACTGCCTGATGAGCCTCCTAAACCCTGAACCCTAAACCCTAAACCCTAAACGCTAAACCCTGAGCCTGATGAGCCCAATTGGATATCTAGAAACAGGCTTCTTCGACCCTCAATCTGCATGTCTGATCTTGGGGCGGCACTTTGACGATCAGGAACAGACCCCTGGTCAGCTGGTCTTTAGGGTTTAGGGTTTAGGGTTTCGGCTTTAGGGCTTAGGGCTTAGGGTTTAGGGTTTAGGGTTTAGGGTTTAGGGTTTAGGGTTTAGGGTTTAGGGTTTAGGGTTTAGGGTTTAGGGTTTAGGGTTTAGGGTTTAGGGTTTAGGGTTTAGGGTTTAGGGTTTAGGCTTTAGGAAACTTTCACCAACTGGACGTATGGACCGAGGTTGGATGCTCTTGTCTGCACTGACATGCCGTCGGGCCTAATCCAGTTCAGACACACGATGCCCTCGCGCATGATGCCGGGAAAGCTGGCGACCTGCATCATCCCATGTTGCCATAAACCCTAAACCCTAAACCCTAAACCCTAAACCCTAAACCCTAAAGCCTAAACCCTAAACCCTAAACCCTAAACCCTAAACCCTAAACCCTAAACCCTAAACCCTAAACCCTAAACCCTAAACCCTAAACCCTAACCCTAAACCCTAAACTCTTGGAACACCCAGAGTGTTTCTGGATTCTCGCAGCCTGTCTCTCCAGCTCACGGCTGAAGTTCTCTGCCGAGCCGATAAAGCAACGCTCCTGCAGCAAGAGTGCTGTCCAACCTAAACACACAGCTGCACTAAACCCTAAACCCCAAACCCTAAACCCTAAACCCCAAACCCTAAACCCTAAAACCTAAACCCTAAACCCTAAACCCTAAACCCTAACCCTAAACCCTAAACCCTGCATATGATCCTATCACAACCGAACCTCGATGAGGGCCGCCAGCTCTGGGCCTGTGAAGGAGGCCAGCAACTCGGCCCCTCGGCTCGCAGTCGCTTAGGGATTTTGTTGATGTTTAGGGTTTAGGGTTTAGGGTTTAGGGTTTAGGGTTTAGGGTTTAGGGCTTAGGGCTTAGGGCTTAGGGCTTAGGGCTTAGGGCTTAGGGCTTAGGGATGCTTAGGGCTTAGGGGTTTAGGGCTTAGGGATGTTTAGGGTTTAGGGCTTCGGGCCTGGGATGTCTGGGGGGTTGGTGCTTAGATGTTTAGGGCTGGGGGCTGAGGGCTTAGGGCTTAGGGCTTGGGGGTCGCACATACATCGCAACAGCCAAGAGAATCACGGAACAAAGAAGCAAAAGAATAGCCGCGTTGTACTCTATTGGTTCCCTTGCATGATATGACATCCAATTATGTTGTTACAGAGCACACTTCTCTGCACGCATCGTACTACAATGATCAGCACTCATCTAGAAAGCGCACCAGCCCCGTGCTACTGGAGCTCCGCACGGGTTGGCGGATGGCAGGTGAACTCCGTTTTGCACACGTTGCAAATCCTGGGCTAATCTTTTGTAGACAGCTTCAGTGGATCAGATTTTTTGCCGCTGTCCTTTGTCTTGTGTCGTGGTCGTAGAGATCCGGATGGGTGGGTTGAGAAACCAGTACTGCCCGCTGCCACATTCGCAAACCTTGGCCACGACTTGGCGCAAAATCGCACTTTTGAGCTCTTTGCTGAACCACAATGTCCAAGGAATCTGGCATTTCAAGTGGACATACTTCTGTCCTCCCGAACATCGGCATGGAGAGATGAGCTCGTCCACCTGGCACCAGATGGGCGACCCATGCTGATCCCCCTTTTCTGCCGAATGGAGTAGGACAATTAAACATAAATACAACAGAATAGAATCAAACCGAACCGGATGGAAACCAGAGAAACAAAAAACACAAATAATGAAGAATGTAATGTACAATACGTATATACATATATGTATGTATATATATATATAGACACATACACGTACATAAACATATATACACACACATAAACAGAAACATAGAAATACAACCCGATACAACCCGCACTTCAAAGAGACCGGGGTGCCTCCTCGCCCTCAAAGCAAAAGCGGCAGAGGCGTTCCTCATCCTGACTTAGGGTTTAGGGTTTACGGTTCAGGGTTTAGGGTTTAGGGTTTAGGGCTTAGGGCTTGGGGTTTAGGGTTTAGGGTTTAGGGTTTAGGGTTTAGGGTTTAGGGTTTAGGGTTTAGGGTTTAGGGTTAGGGTTTAGGGTTTTGGGTGTGTAGCGCTCTCTCGGGTACCCAATGATGCCAGGGTCCCCACATAGGTGCACAGCTACCTCTCAGGACGGCCAGTGGCCCTTAGTTGAAGAACGTACCTTTCATTCCTTTGAAGTGGAACTTAAGACATCTTCCTGAAATTTAGGGACGGTTGCCCCCCTAAATCCCCAACTCAAGGGAGAGCTACACTGCTCCTGAGCTTCTTGTGCAGGAGGTGAAGTTGTTGAAGGCGCCTCTGGGGTTCCGGGTTTAGGGTTTAGGGTCTTTAGGATTTACGGTTTTGGGTTTAGGGTTTAGGGTTTAGGGTTTCGGGTTTGGGGTTTGGGGTTTGGGGTTTGGGGTTTGGGGTTTGGGGTTTAGGGCCACACAACACAACGGGAAATCGAAGCGAAAGCCGAAGAAGCCCACGGCCTTCGGGGATTCGGCAAGCTGGGAAGCTTGCGCTGCGCTGGCACCTTTTTGCACAGGGGTTTAGGGTTCAGGGTTCAGGGTTCAGGGTTCAGGGTTCAGGGTTCATGGCTTAGGGTTTAGTGAGATCGTGGACCCTTCTCGGGTCCCCTTTCAGATAGGGCTTATATAAGGTTCCAAAGAAGGCCTTCCCCGCGTCTGGCCTCGTGATCTGCGAATGGGGCAGCGTAGTGTGGGGCAGCGCCTTGGGAAAGCAGATTTAGGCCGGTTTAGGGCTTGGGGGTTGGGATTCAAGCTTTAGGTGACGGCTTACTTCCTCCACCTCGATGACTGCAAGGCTTCGCTGAGCGCCTCACAGTTTCCACCCTCTCATGCCCATTGCCGAGGCCATCTCCACAAAGGTTCGTACATTCGAGCTGAACAAATGGCACACTCAGCGCGCAAATACCATCAAATACCAAGACATGGGACGCCAAGGCTGCTCTCTCAAGGCGGAAACCCTAAACCCTAAACCCTAAACCCTAAACCGACATTTTTGTCTCTCGGCGTAAGGTCTATGGTGACACATGGTGCTGTCAGGTCTCCCCCCCTCTTCAGCTGTCCAAGGTTACGTCCTGAATCTTGGAAGCACTTTGTGACTCTTCAGAGGCTGTCAGGCCACACAACCCTGTCCGCTCTCCTTCTTCTGGACTTCTGCATGTTGTTGGCCTGTGCTAGCTTCAACCAAGGCACGACAGAACAGAACCACAGAACCTGCTCACCAGCTACGCCAGCTTTGAGGATCAGACCTTTTTTGGCGAACACACGCTCCCATCCTTCGGCAAACTTCTTGGAATACCTGGCGAACTTCCAGGGAACAGGGACCCCGCAATGACGACCCCTAAAACTTCTGGAAACCACCCCAAACTGCGCGAGGCACACCCGTAGGTGGCACCAGTGCTGCCGACAGCTTTATGGGCTATGTCCGCCTGTCTGGGAGGGCTTCTTCTTATTGCCCGCAGCAGCCCACTGCAAAGGACAGAAGGGCTTCGGGTCTATGGTCAAGTGGAGGAAAATCTTACACACCAAGAATCACCAAAAACTAAAAGCAAGGCCTTTGGCGAGCTCTCGCCACACTGCGTGGGGGTGGCACACGCGGTGCCACACGGAGGACCCTTGCAAGAGGAAGAGCCGCATTAGGACATCACCCTTCAGAGTCTGAAAGTGTCTAAAACGGGGAAGCACCTCTGAGAGCCGAGGGCGACTCGTTCCCAGTCCACGAGCCTCCATAAACGCAAAGTCGGAGGTGGAGGGAGGGGTGAGGGAGGGAGAGGGGGGAGGGGGAGTGTTTTTACTAAGAGACCACGGCCGAGGAAGAGGCCCCTCTTTACTCGACTGACCGTCGCGCTTGCGAGACTTTTTTGCAGCCACCGACGCTACAGAAGCCATCTCTTAAGGGCGGCTCCCACGCTCGGGCGGCTGTCGGTCGGCCTGGGAAAGGCAGGACATGGTCTGCCAAATGTGCTGCACATCCCGCAACCCCACGAGGTTCCGGCACAGGTGTCGCAGGGCCTCAAGTCCAGGGCCAACAAGTAGAGAGAGGCGCAGGAGCCGACAGCCAGCTAGAACTTGGGAGGCCACCATGATAGAGCTTGGGAGGCCCCAAAAGCTGCTGGAACCGCTCTCTTGTGATGGAAAAAAGGGCGGCTGAAGGCGGGAGGCAGGATGTGAGGCTTCCACTGACCCAACATGGAGTATCGTTGCATCTTGAACCCTGAACCCTCCACCCTAAACCCTAAACCCTAAACCCTAAACCCTAAACCCCAAACCCCAAACCCTAAACCCTCAACCCCAAACCCCATCACACAGTTTTGGCTCCGACATGGAAGCGGGCACTTGAAGCAGTAGCGGTCTGGGGTCTGACTCTGGCGTAGCTGGCGCTGACCTGTGCTTAGGCTTGCTGCCCAGGCTGTTCTGATGCCCTCCTCTCCGTCCACCGGGGGCTCCAGCTGAGTCTGTCATGAAGCAGGGGGAGACTGCAGTCCGCAATTCGTGTCTGAAGCTTCTCCTGCTTAATTTGACCACTCCACTTGCAAGCCACTTGCTTGTTGCATCCTCTGTAGAACCTTCGCAGTGCCCTTACTTCACAGGCGCACGCTCTCCGTCCTCAATCTGTTTAAGGGAACATGGCTCTCAGGAATCGTTATGAAGGCATGTGCTTGTGCTTTTTCGGGGCGAACGGAGGCCCGCCAAGCCCCAGCAACAATGATGTGACGTCATGTATGCAAAGTGCACATTTCTGCGTGTGCATGTCAAAGATGACCGCCTCCTACTGCCTACTACCTGCATGGACATGGAAACTAAGTACTTAAGTGACAAGAGTGAGCTGAAGCGATGCAACACGGCAAGGGCTTCCAGTCATCAACGCAGCCCAACCCGCGGCTGCAAAACTTAATCACTACGCGTTGGGCGCAGATGTAAGGCCGCCCGGTTCAGCGAAAAGACTGTGCAAAATAGCAAAATGCCTGCTGATTTGACACGATATTGCGCCGTTCCTTGGGCGGCCAACTATGGCAAGTCTCATGAAGCATGCTAGACGCTTGTCCAAAGATGGAAAGCTCGAACTCCGTGCTGGCTGTCAAAAGGGGCATTGGCCAAGAAGCTATTGGTGAGGCCAAAACCCTGTGGTGGGAAGAATCACTGAGTCTGTAGCGAATGAGTAGGCTTCACTTGAGCATGCTCCGCATGCTGTCAGCCACTGGAGTGCGGGTGAAACAAAAATACAGGCTCGCAGGCGCTGCGTGTGAATTGACCTGAGATGTCAGGCACGCCGTGCCCTTCATGCCCCCCCAAAACACCCTATAGGAGCTCATAAACCCTGCGCGACTCTTGGAGTTCTTGCTGCAGCCAAGCGGCTGTATACAAAATCCAGCAGCATCCTGAGCCAAAAGCCCCGGAGGGCGTTGGCAGGTGCACCTTCGTGCCGCCTGAGTGAAGACCTGACTACGTCTGCATGCAAGCCAAAAGCCTTTTTTGTGTGGGTGCCCTTGTTCTGCTGTTCTGTTCCACCACGCAGTAACAACAAGCACTTCTTCCAGTGAAAGGGACGGCAGAACCGAGCTCTGCGTATATGTATCAGCATCTCAACCTCAAATGTAAATTCCCGCAATCGCCTCCATTGTGGAGAGCCAAAGCTCCATGCACACGACACCAGGACACACAACGTAATCTTCTGAGTAGCGTACAAGCCCTTGGGAGCATCTGTCATGAAAAATTCGTGGCGTGCATGGGATAGCCCAGACCTCAGTGCCTGGGCTTACCTGGATAACGATACGTCCAGGCTGCTCCATGGCAGGAAAGTGGTCGAGATTCTCAATGCCGCATCCCGGCCAGGAAAGAAACGTCTGCCAATCCAAAGAAAAAGGGCAATGTTCCCGCTCTTGCAAGCACCTCTTAGAGGCCTCTCTATGAGTTGCAAAGATGTAGCAAAAGCAGTGGCTGCAAGCGGTTGCAAGCTGTTTCAACACCACACATGGAGAGGTGTCTTGCAAGTGATAATGGCCACGATGCAGTCACTCTTCGATGACAACAGTGCAAGTGCCAAAACGGGTCCTCCGCACGCGTGCTGACCCGATGGGAAGCTTGAACAACGATTCAGCAAACGGGCCTTGCCTGGCAAGGTCACCAGCTCTCGCAAGCTTGGCGATGCCAGTGTCCTTCTTGCAGCTGAAGACCATGGAAGACCGCTAGCCCTTCGACTTAACAGCAGCGGTGTTGCTGGTCTATGCCACACACAAATGACCCGAACACCTCAGCGAGGTGCTCTGTATCTTGGCACCTCAGAAAGCAGGAGCGCAGCCTGGCTGGAGACATCGGCTACATTCGTGCCCCGAGGGTTGCGCAGCTAAGGCATCGATAGTGGCATCCTGGCACCGCTTCAGCAAAAGCTCCAGAGATCCGAGCCGCCCGCTGCGGTGCACATGCCCCACATTCACCAGAGTTGCCTTGTGCTTTGTTTCCATCTTACGCCATCACCTGGGAGGCCACTGCCACACTCTGGCAGGGCACGCTGCTACCACGTTGCTGCCACCTCCCTGCTAGCACAAAAACCTATGTAACAACATAATCATGAAATTTTGCCATAATATTAACAGTAATAAAAATAAGATGGTATCATAATAGTAAGAAGAAGAATAGTAGTAATAAGAAGAAGAATAATGATGATAACAATATAGTATCATAATAATCATAAGAAGAATATACAATATATTAATATAGTGGCTGCTCCAGGGATTCCCCACCCCGTCTTGAAGATTCCGGAAGTGCCCAGGCTCCTGCGCAAAAATCACACACATCCCAGGGTTTCGGGTTGAGGGTTTAGGGTTTAGGGTTTAGGGTTTAGGGTTTAGGGAGCCCCTTTGAATGCATAATCTACCGTGCACGCTGGCCTCCAGTGTTTGCAAGGCCTCAAACTCTCAGACGTCCGTGATTTTTGATGTGGCTGTGCAGCATGCAAATCTCGTCTCTTCGGGTTCACATGTGTTCACCGTTCTGGCCTGTTGCAATTCGCGCTCATCTAGACCACTGTGCCTTGGGACACAATAGCGCTAGGGGTGTTAGAGTAGCGCTCTCCATCTCTCTCTAGAAGGACCCGGACATGGGGGGCTGCATGGTGCGTTTCTCAGCAACGGCTCGAACTGCCTGCATCGCAGGAAGCACGGGCCGTAAACAAACGCATCTGCTACAGCATCACAGCCTCTGCCAACTCCCCACGCACCAAGGAATCAAGATGTGTGGCCTCATGCATGCAGGCGACACGGCCACAACTCATGTCATGCACCGAGAATCGGAACCTTTGCAGCATTTCTTGCAACCTTTAAGGCGGGGCGGCCGAACAGCGCGCTGTTCGCACCCGCACTACCAGTACCAATTGAGCATCTGCTCCAGTGCACCAGTCTGACTCTTCCCTAAACCCTAAACCCTAAACCCTAAACCCTAAACCATCTTCAGGCTGCAACTCCGCACACCGCTCGAGTCAGCTCACATGCGATCTGTTGAGCCTGGCAGCGGGGGACTCCTACAAAGCAACACATCGTCGCAGAAACGCTCGGAACCAACACCTCCCCATCCGCATTCGACTTGCAGACCAGCTTGGAGATAAGTCTGGCTGCGGGGTACCTGTCCAAGCAGCTTTTATGACTATCTTCTTATATTCGCATTTTCTGAAATTCTCATATTCTCATATTCTCATATTCTCATATTCTCATATTCTTATATTCTTATATTCTTATATTCTTATATTCTTATATTCTTATATTCTTATATTCTTATATTCTTATATTCTTATATTCTTATATTCTTATATTCTTATATTCTTATATTCTTATATTCTTATATTCTTATATTCTTATATTCTTATATTCTTATATTCTTATATTCTTATATTCTTATATTCTTATATTCTTATATTCTTATATTCTTATATTCTTATATTCTTATATTCTTATATTCTTATATTTATTCTTATATTCGTATATTCTTATATTCTTATATTCTTATATTCTTATATTCTTATATTCTTATATTCTTATATTCTTATATTCTTATATTCTTATATTCCTACATTCTTATATTCTTATATTCAAAAGTTCTTATACTACTATATTTTATTTTCGTATTAGTATATTAACATAATGACCTTGGTTCAAGTACTTGCGAAGCTCAGGCTCAGCTCTCAAGAAGATGCCGAGCGCACGCTGTGTCGATGGACGTTCTGTTCACGCAAAGCTCGACAAGGATCTGGCCACTAGGAAAGAGACCAGAGAGGGTTCAGGGGTTTTGTTTAGGCTCAAGGTTTATCTTAAACCCGAAACCCGAAACCCTAAACCCCAAGCCCTAGACCCTTAGACCCTTAAACCCTTAAACCCTAAACCCTAAACCCCGTCGCGAGGCAACCGCGATGACGCAGGCGGGATCTAAACCCGAAGAAGCTGCAGCAGGTATATCCGAGCTAGAGCCTTCTGCACATCTCGGAGTGCAGCCAGCAGGGCTGTGGTCCCTGGCAAGGGGAGTGTATGGGGTTTAGGGTTTAGGGTTTGGGGTTTAGGGTTTAGGGTTTAGGGTTTGGGGTTTAGGGTTTAGGGTTTGGCGTTTCCCCCACCCCCGCATGTTCGTAGCTCTCACTGATAGGCACCCGTTTACCCATTCCTTTTGGCTCTATGAATGAGTTAGGCGCCTCATCCCCCCATGAACCGCTACCCAATCCCCCCATGAACCACCAAACCCTAAAC